TATATATTGATATCAATAAATATACTTATTAAGTACTACTTTCAGCTCAAGAACCAAATGTTTCTTTTTCTGGAATGAAATCCCAAGAAGAAAAAGATGTTAGCAAAAGACATTATTCATGAACAGCATGTGTTTCCCATATATGCTTCAAAAGTGCTAGCAAAATTTGTGACATGCAGTGCTAGATTGTCAGATGTTTCCAGTGATTTTCACCCATCATAACTCAGAAAGCAACTGACATTAAACTGTGACTTTTCAAAGTGGAGGAGGTTCACCCTATGGGCAAACATCTGCTTTGGTCAAGTTACACTTTTCCAATGATCAGGGGTAATTTATCTGTTCAGTCAGCCATGCTTTTGAAAGGAGAACCTGTTGATAATCTGTGAAAATCTAGTAAAAAAAGTAATACTTCAACTTTACAAAGTGATAAGGTGACCTTTTAAGAGCTGATAGCTTAGAGTCATGTCAACATTTTATTAACAATAAATTTCTCAAGTAGATTGACTTATTTTTCTTTCAATTTACAAGATTGCTTCTGATTTTGTTGGTATTTCAAAGGCATGAATTCTGTACCTATGTTCAAAAAACTTACCTACACCAATTAATTATATTTAAATTAATTTTCCAAAACACATTCGTCCTCAGGAAGATCGGAGTTCATTAGTCCTAAATACTGTGTTTAAACTAGTACTCTCCTAAACTTTTTGTATTTGAGTTTGGTCATAGCTTGAAAATGCTGGTTGTTAGTAGCTGCATCAAAAAATCACTATCAAAATATTTCTCACAGCTATATTAAAACTGAGGGCCTCTTTGGGGGGGTATGCTGTCAAATTTTTTTTGTTTGTCTGTTTATTACTGAAGTCAGCAGGCAGTTTTACAGAAGTGAAGTCATATGTTTACACAGTCATTGCTTGACTTCAGATTTGTGCAAGACGCCTCCATGGTCTTTGCTATGGTAGAATCATCTCCCAGTTCCAGGAAAGGACAAAGTTATGGTACTGAAATGTACCAGTTCCTTTTTTAAGGAACTTGTTTAAAGAGAGATTGCCCATGCAAGAGGGCATTCTAGTACAACAAAATTAGCCTGGAACTGGGTGTGACTTTCCTGTTGATTGTAACTATGCAAGTAGTTAATAGTCCTGTTTAAATGTTTAGTTGGTTTATTGAGTAGAAGAGTGGGAGGGGGTAATAGATGTTTTTTATGAAAAGTGTGACAGCTTTATTTTATCAATGAAAGTCTTTAACCACTGTGCATTTTTAATTTAGAAAAGGCATAAAGCTGATAATGCAGTGAACAAGAAACAAACTCAAGGTAGGAAACTTTTTTAACCTTTTAAAGGGGGGTGTTGAATTTTTGCAAATGGTAGTAATGTAATTTGCACTACTGACAGGTAATTGCATATGTAGATTACTTCAAAATTTGAAATGTAAACAGTTGAAATAAAAATTTGCTGTGACATTAGCCCCACAAAATAAAATACATTCTGGATTAGGGTGAGAGGTTCCTAAGAAACTTGGACATTTACTCATTTAGCACAGGTGATGCTGTAGCTGATGTTAAAAGATATAATCACCAGTATATTTAGTGGGCCAACATTATAACTAAAAGTCTGCATTTCTGACTAGCATGATTTTTTTTCAACTGTCTAATCTTAAATAATTTGATTTTGGAGAACTGCCCAATAGGAAAGAGACTAAAAAAAAAAAAAGAATTGTCTTTCTATGCTGCTTCAAAACTATAGATTAAGCTGAATGGAGGTTTTTTGGGCTTTAGGTTTTGGGGTTTTTTTAATGAAATGAATGTAATGGTTTGATTAGAGATGATATTTTGCCAGTGTATCCTAACTAAAACTTTGGCATGTAATTATTTTTAATAGATTTTGATAAAGAAAAGTAGCATTCAATCAGGAGATTCTTGTAGCTCAAAAATTGAGGAAGATGTTAGCTAGTATGTCCTAAACAGTCTTGTCAGGTAGAAAGTTTAGGTTCCTGCTTTGGTGCCTTCAGCTTCTCATGTTATTTGTTCTGAGGTAGGCCTCTCTTGATAGAAATGGTTCTGTTTTTATAAACAGGAGGGTAAATGAGTGGCATGTGAATTTGATTGCAGAAAGTACAAAAAATATCACAAAGAGAAGAATCTTATATGCAATCCTTTTGAAATAAATAATAAACTTATTTTTTGGGGGGAGGAATGTAGTCATTGGTTAAAGATAAATAAGCATTTAGCAGTGCTAAACATTGGAAACATAGATTTTAAAGTTTGCCTAAATTGTACATAAGTCTTTAATATAAAATTTTTAGGAGATGGGAGGGCAAGATAACTTATGAAACTACTGAGCATATAGCTCAGTAGAACATATGAGGAGATTATGATAAGAGGGACAAAACTATTGACTGAAAGCACTGGGAATAGAAACCTCTGGAGAACAGGCCTGGAGAAACAGATAACCTCTTATCCATACATAAAAAACTAAGGAAAACTTAATGTAGACATCCAAAATCCTTTCATCAATCTTTCATAGCTTATGAGATTACAACCAAGAGTTTTGGTGGCAGTGAATCCTGAAGTGCCTTTTGAATTTTTCTTTTGGTCTAGAGCATACAAAATTTTAATAAAAGACTTGTTTACTCTCTCTCGTGACTCTTCTTGGTTACCTCACATTAGGGTCTTTTGTAACTGTTTCTAAAATTCCTGAATGTTCCATGCACGCATTTTGGAAGTTAAAAGTGTAGTGAGGATACATAAAATATTGCTTGCACTGAGAAACATGTTTCTTAAGCTAATGCGGGATTCACATAAGGACAGGATTGATCCTAATGTACTGTCAAAGCAATATTTAAATGTGCATCAGATATAGTCTATTGTCAAAGCAATAAATAAAAAGTTAATCAGTATGGTATTCTCTTACTTTATTTTCATGTATTCATCAGTTCTGTAACTCTGAAAAGCAGCGATGTGCATAGTACATTGTGTATGCAGCTCCACCTTTGGTTGTCTTTTAAACGTACAAAATTGTTAAAGAAACAGCATTTGTGTGTACAAATTCTGTGTATGGATTTCTCTTCATCTTTTTGTTCCTTAATGACTATCTATATCTCAGTTAACCTTAAGTAACTAGCTTTATAAATTTCTGTTAGTATAAAAAACCTTTTGCAGAGGCTGCATTATGGATGATTTTTGTTACCTCAGGCTACAATACAGTAGGACACCATCAGACATTCTGATGTGATGAAATCTGCATTTCTGCAGTGTGGTGAAGTAGCCTTCTGTAGGGCAGATGGAACATGCTTTGGAAAGTTGGTTGTTAGAGACAGCTGAAAAGTGGGAGGTACAAATGCAAAAGTGAGGCTGCAGAAGACTTTACGGCACAAGTTTTCTAACCATTATATAAAAGATGCATCGCAATACTTCTCTTTTTGTTCTCCTAAGAAAATGGATTTAACTGAATGTCAGTGCATGTTAATTGTGCTTAAAAGCTTATCAGATCAAGCTAGGGTTAAAGTACTCTTGAGATTAAAGGTGTCTCAGCACATTTTCATGACTCATTCGAGAGCCGATTTTAACCACTTAAACCAGCAGGAAACAAATCCAGAAAATAAAAATTGAAATGTTCTTCCATGTAGTGGGTTAACTAGCTCATCAAACGGTCCAACAAACACTAGAGACAGCATGCATAGAGCAGTGAGGGCATGCACCTTTGCGTGGGGGGACAGCAGGACAAGGCCTTCCTTTAGCAGCCAGAATCCCCTTCTTAAGAAGCCCCTAGCCACGTCTAGTGATTTATTTTCATTTCAGACCTGCAGAACTCCACTGGCAGTTAGTCTACTGTAACTATTTGTGAAATTTAGTTGTCTGGATTGCTGCAAAGTATACTTTTAATTCTCAGCAGTTCTTTCATCTGGTTGGTGGCATGGCCCCACAAACAGTATTGCTGACACAAGGGAATGGAAGTAAGTAATTGGTGCAAAATTACGAGAAGTTTTGGATTCCTTAGGACAGTGTTACAACCACTGTTACAATCACGCCAAATCTGTTGTTTTCCCAGTGAAGGGAAATGGTTTGTCAAAATTGATTTTGTATAATGATCAGCTGATTGGTGAGACAGTCATTAAAATATCTTGCTTACTGTCAAAAAGGGAAACTGCTCCATTTAGTAGTGTCCTGACCATATCAGCACTAAAAAATCTGGGGGAAGGAACGGAAAGAGAATTTATCTCTTCCCAAAGAATTATTAAGCACAATAAATAATGATTGCAGACATCATTGAGATGTACAAGAAGAGGGGTCAATCTGGACAGAACCTCCAGGAAGACTTAAATGTAAAGGCCATATGTAGTCCCAGATTTTGATCCACCTTTTTAAGTCAGCACATGCTTGTGTAAGAACTTGGTCCTGATCAGGTACTTAAGATAAGCTTCCTCACAGTTTGAAAGCTGGAAGACACAGAGAAAGAGAACAATCTCTTAAAGCTGTCTGAATATTGACACATAGCAGTATGTTTTCAATTACTTCATGTGTATCAATCTCCAATAGCTTGTAAGGGAGTTACCTTTATTATTCCCTGAAAACACAATTAACTGGCAAACAAAGCATGGGTTTTGTGTCATAATAGTAATACTTAAAACTAGAACAGTGTAATGTGGATGCAATATTAATTTCAACTATCAGGGGAAAATGTGACTAAATTTTAAGCTAAATAGTGTGGGTTGATTTGGGGGATTTCCAGTATGCTTATTGAGGAGATGACCATGGTGATCCTGAAGTTCTCTGATATGCCAGTAACAGTAAAATAGATTAACAATAATAAGCCTCTTGGCATCTTTTTACATTAATCTTTTTTATATGTATCTCATCAATATTTTAACTGAGAAAAAAATCTTGAATTTATCCCACTCACCTCCCCACTAATTTTGTAACTTTTTAAATTTGGAACTTTTTATTCCAGTTACTAACCTATTTTGGAAAACACCACAGTATCATAAAATCTATATCAGATTTATTTGATTCTCAGACTCTCTAAAATGTTCTGATTGACTTTATAATAAGATACTGTGGTTCAAAAACTGTTATAAAGAACATGTGTTGTATAATTGAAATGCTTGACCCAAATCCATAGAAACAAGGCAGGCTGTTAAATATTGTCTGTTTGAGATGTCTGTATCGCTTCTCCTAAGGAATCTAGCACATACCCATATGCAGTTATATTCTACTACTGGAAAATTCTTTCTTTTTTTCCTTTTTTTTTAGTACTACGAAATGGTGCGTGGGAGATTGTCCACTGGGAGAAGGTGTGTGTCTCTATTGTGACTTTTAGAGCATAATGGATACTTAATATTTGCTTTATTTCTCCAGATAATTGTAAGTTATGAAAACTAACTGGTGTTATGGAAAATGTATAATCTTTTGTATTTTATTTTTTGTTTGTTAAGATTTGCTATTAATGCCAAGGTTGTGGATGTTCGATCTCTATACAGAGCATTCACTTAAGAGTTGGACCTGATGATCCTTGTAGGTCCCTTCCAACTCAGAATATTCTGTGGTTCTGTCATTTGTCTCTCAAAACATACTTTAAAGTCAGGTCAGTTTTGATGGTATGAGTCAGACAAAACTAGTGGGCTTTAAGTTCAGTGAAAATAACTTGAATAGTATGGTGGCATATGGCCACCAAAATTATGCACTTCCTTGGTATTCTTTGGTTTGTCAAGGCAGAAACTTCTTTCTGGAGGCTAATTATTTTGTGTATTTTTTGAACTTCCTCCGCTTAAGTCATGAGAACTTTAAAAACTATTATGCAGTACTTAGGAGGGGACTCTTAAAGGTAACTTCCAAGAACTAAATGTTATACTGCCTATCTAGTCACTTAGTCTTATTGGTTTCCACACCTGAAAGCTTGAAGAAAATTTGACCTGTAGTAAATTGGAAGCAAGATTCAGATGAAATTGGCTTATACCTTTGAAGAAGCAAGGATAAGGTATATAGTGTGATGCGACAAAATGATGAGTTTAGGTGAAATTAATTTCTTCTTTGACTCAACTTCAGTCTTCCAATAAAGTATTTTACAAAACTAGCGCAAGTAAAGATCTGCATACAGAAGGTCGGGATTAGGCCTGTTAAAGATTAGGTTTTCAAAGAGTTGCAATGGCTTTTGAGTACAACTCCAGCTGTACAGTCTAAATTCTCTAAGTGTGTGAGTTTCTAACAGTCTTTTTAGCAAATTCAGCAGGTAACTATTTACTGTGCTTAAAACAAGGGGATAATATATTTTGTTTGAGACCATTAACCAATTCCCAGTTTTCTTTCAGGTAGATGTTGGAGATATAGTTATAATAAAAGGCAAAGAGTATATACCTGCTGACACTGTACTGCTCTCATCAAGGTAGAGATGCCCACTGATGCTTATAGTGTAGAGGCTGGTTTCTCTACCCTGCATTTATTTATTTATTTGTTTGTGATTGCTCCAAGGAAATAAAGAATAAACAAAAATGATGCTGTTTTTGTCTTTGGTTCATTCAGTCATGTATCATTTCAGGCAATGTTTCATTAAACTGTGACAATTGCAGTTTTGAAATTACACTGGCATTCAATTTAGCCATAACAAAAATTTTTTTTTTTTTTTTTTTTTTTTTTTTTTTTTTTTTTTTTTTTTTTTTTTTTTTTTTTTTTTTTTTTTTTTTTTTTTTTTTTTTTTTTTTTTTTGTTGGATATAGTATAAAAAAGGGTGGTTTTCTGTCTAAAAATTGGACTTCAACTGCCATACTTAAGCAGCTTGGCTTTTTGGTATATACCCAACAAATTTCTTTCCACAAGTAAATCAAATTGGGTGTACTACTAATGTTTTTTAATGGATATAGTCACTAGTTTGATAGTTGGATCAGGAAAAAAAAATGAACATGAGATGTGAACCACCAAGTTAGCACTGTCTTTATAAGCTGAACACTCACTTTATTGTAAAATATATATATAAGGATGATTTCAGCACAGAAAGCAAGACTTAATTTGTTATGCTGTGACTCTTTTTCATGGACAATCAGAGGTTGTTTATCATCATTTCCTTGGACAGTTTTATTTAAGAAATCCACGTCTTATGTGGAAGATGCACATTTTTCAACATCTATTTGATCAGGTCAACAGACAACATATTCTAAGACTACTTTTAAATGAATATTATTTAAAAGTGATCAATTGTATTTTAATATGTTTTCTGGCACAAGCAGAAGCATTTTATATATATATGATTATGATTTAGATATAAACCCCTCTGTGATCCCACTGAAGTTAATGAATCCAGTCATACCTACAGTTAATAAAGTTAGGATCTTATGTTTGTCTCTTGACAGACTGCAGTATAGACTAGTACATTGTTTATTCTGTCTTCCATTATATCTCAAAATTAAGTGTAACTCTTTCTAAAAGACTTCTATTAAATTATTATCAAGTGTAAGGTAGTTGCCAGATAATACTGTAAATTTTTCCCACAGTCTGTCTTCAGTCCTTATGTTTGTCATAATTTAGCTGGGTTGTTATTGTCTTCTATGAGCCTTTTACTTCTGCACTTTGAGAAGCATTTATAAATTTTATTGGTGCTTCTCCACTAAGATCTTCATAGGCAATACACCATGCGGCAAGAACACTTGTTCTGTTGGCCTGATAATAGCTTGTCATGCTAACCCTGGTGTTTTGCAGGTGGAACAGATTACATCCTCTTCGAGCAGCTTCTTCATAATCTTCCTAAGTAATCTCCTAAATTTGAGTCTTTGCCTAGGTGTCTTCACAGTTTTGCCCTTTGGATTTGAAGGATGCTTGCATGACAGTGTTCTCCAGTTGTGGTTTACCCACAGAAAAACTGTGGGTAAACAACTGCCTGAAAAGACTACTTTACAAGCATTGTTTTCCCTGAAGGAATATCAAGTTGATAAATTGAAATTATAGTTAGCTGCTATTTGACTTGATCAGGACTGTTACCACTTTGTTTAACCTTACTTTAACGCCCTTATCAGAACGCATTATGTGTGTCCACCTATGACCATTACTCACCTTGAATTTTCATGTCAGATTTTCTTCTAGGATCCAGTTTACAATGGGGGCTCTTTGAGTCATAACTGCTTTTCTGTGCCCAGTTCAGGCATTTCTTCCAACTGAAACTTCCTGATTAGTTATATTACTAGGATCCTGTTGCAGCCCTCCTTCCAGGAGAGAACACTGTACTACTACATTAGCCCTAGTTCTGCCTGCATACCAGCATGTACTCTCCTCCATCTCTTATCCTCATGTGGCCATATATTCTCCAGGAAGACAGTCCCATTGATTTTGCTTTTCAGGTGTTTACTGATGCCCAGTTATATTTTACATTTCAGAAACAATGCAAGTCTGTGGGCCTAGTTTTAATTCAGACTAACATTTGGTTCTTTTTACCACCAGCAATACCAGTTTTTAGAGAACAAGAGGATCTTAATTATTTTAGGAAACTATAATTCTTACAGTGGAAGGACACAAAGCACTGAGATTTAATTCCATATGGTTCTTGCTTGTTCAGTGTTCACAGAGATTTACAAAGCTGAAACAAAATACAAAATAACTATCAGCATGTCTGCATAGAATAGGTACTTGTCACTTGGCTCTTCAGAAAAGTTGATGGAAAATCTTTTGTTGTGACTTTTTTTTTTTTTAATTGATGTAAGGAGTGGCTAGAAACTTCATCAATTGAGAAATAAGCATAACGTTTTTTTATTTTTACTGTACAACATCATTGTGTTCAGCATCTTAAAACTGGTGCCTTACAGTAAAACAATCCAATTGAGTAAGAATGGAAGTGTTCTAGCTCTTTTCTTTCTGACCTGATTAAAATAGATTTTGAAAACATGGTCATCAGACATTTTAATTAACATGTATTTTTTCAATAATAATTTTAAACTCTGTCTTTTTGTCTCTGTTCCTTTGTTTTGTTTTGGTTTGGTTTGTTTTGTTTGTTGGAATTTTTTTCCCCCATCACTTATTTTTCTGTTCTAATCATTTCAAACTGGGATGTGTAGGTGGCAGTAGGGGAAGTAGTGAAAGTGACCAATGGGGAACATCTCCCAGCTGATCTCATCAGTCTGTCTTCAAGGTTAGAAAAAACTAGTTGCACAGGATATGTGTATGTGGGTCCTCATATACCAAGTATGAACAACACTGCCGTATTGATAATCTCTGCTATGCTGTTCACCTTTCTTCAACAAAACCTACACATTTATAAAATTAGGAAGGGTTCAGTTGATGAAAGTACAGATCATTAAAGCATAAACACATGCTAACGCTCCAAGAAATGAGAACTTTTTTCAGTCCTCTTTGTTTTTACACTATCCCCATGAAATTTTAGCAGACAAGTTTTCATTGAATAAACACAGTTAAACACCAGGATAAATATATGTTTAATTCCTTAGAGCAAATAAGAGAAACATACATGTTTCTGCCAACTCCCCATTTTCAGCAAAGAATATAGTTCAATGTTGGTAGGACTGGTAGAGGACCCTCTGCACAAACTTGGATGTTGCACAATCTCTGCTGCATGCGATGGCAAAAGCAGCGTTGTTGTTGTGTATTGTGACAAACTGCATGTTTCTTGGACACGTCAGCTTTGTGCTATTGTCTGCACTGTTACCACACTTTGTCTTTCCCTAACCAATCAATGGGCCTGCCTTGATCTAACTGTAACTTACTGTGGAGCAATCTGCTACCGTTACTACAGTTAAGCATGTGTCTCTCACTTGAAATGTCTTTGCTGCCTTATTCTGTTTTAAAAGTGCTTCAAGAAAATATTGTTTGTTTTTTATTGTTAACTGATAAATATGCTAAAATGGTGATAATGTCTTATACAGGTGATTCCATCCAAACAATCTAAATAAAAGGTATTTATATTTTTAGAGAAGTTTGCCAATAAAACTCTAGCCTGAAAGCATCTTATCATAATGATTTGCCACATTTTAATGTTTGTACTTTACAAAATCATGTTAGAATAACATTATCCTGCAAACAATCTAAAATTAAATCATTTATCATTAGCCACTGTCACATTAATAAAGAAAAATTTAAAAAACATTTGATGCTTTAATTTCATGTTAGAAAGAAGAAAGCATTAGAAGCTTTAAAGTGGTATAGAGAGTAAACCTTTATTCTTTGAAGTTTTATTACTTATTTGGTCCTTTTAAGAATCAAAACTTCTTTCTGTCACAGATTTAAGTAGTAGGTGTTCCGTCCTCATGCCCAGAAAATGAGAGCTGACTGGAGTAACTCAGAAATCCTGACCCGTTAGGCCTGTTCTTGTTTATTATCTACTTGCAGAAAAATAATTTTCTCCTTGTACATCTCTGCTTTCCTAGTTAACAATTCTATCATGTTTGTAATAAGATTTTAAAATCTGAAAATATTTTACAAAATCAAAAATCACTGTGTTGTGTTACACATCAAAAAAATTATATTGGAAAAGTTAAATCCAGGGAATAAACCATTTCTCAGTATGTGTCAAATAGATGAAGTATTCAAGTATTAATGTTCTGTGTGAACTTAAAACTTTTCCTTTATAAAAAAGCTTTTGAAATTGCATGAGGAGGATATATTTCAAAAACTGTACTATGTTATCCATGATGTAGACTTTTTTTGTAAGAGGACCCTTTTGCAAGAAAATTTCTGCGCCTGAACTACTGTCGCCTACTGTAGTAGGCATTGCGAATGCACGACAGTAGTGCTCGGATCTTAATACTGGTTGTAAAAATAGAACACTTTTGCTGTGCACAGCACTTTCATCCATGTTTCATCTAAGAAAATAAGTGTTGGCAAACTTTTCTGAAAATGTAAAGTCCTATTGGTTTTTACAGATTTGGCTGTAAATTATTCTGGCTGTGAAGATTTGATAAGACAAACCTATTTGCATAAATAGGTATTACAAAATTACAGGAAATTTATGGATTTTGACATTATAATTTTAAATTCAGGAATTTTTTTTCTTAATAGTGAACCCCAGGCCATGTGCTACATCGAAACATCTAACTTAGATGGTGAGACAAACTTAAAAATTCGACAGGTAGGAATTTCACTTTTGAGAGTATTGCTAATATTATTTTTGTCTATTATTGCTTATAAAAACATTTTATTACATTAATGCCCGTTTTAGAAGACTGTGAAATTTGAGTGTTTTGAATAAAAAACAGTGGGTTACTGACATCATAAAAACAGAAGAATGAATGGTTACTCCTAAGTCATTCTTTCTACTTTGTTTTGGGTAATATAGGTAGAAATGTAAGTAGTTTGAGTATTAGTTTTGTTTCTGGAGAAGAGATGAGGCAGAAACCCTGCAGAAAGCAACTGATAGTGCCAATATTGTCCATTAGGGGCAGGTAGAGAGTAGCAGTTTTTGAGTGAGTGCACTGTCTCTATGCAGGGACAGTCTTGCTGAGCTGTGAGATGTATTATGGCCCTGTCTTGATCATGGTACTTTGAGATACCAAGGTCACTTTTTCACTGTAGCATCCAGCAGTGTTACAACAAAGTGTAGCTGGCCCGTTTTTCTCCCACATGTTTTCTGGTCTTGCACTATCGGATTTAAAATACGTAGATTTATAATTGGATAGTGATTTTTAATGTCATGACAAATGAATTCTGTTTACAGGGTTTGTCACTAACATCGGAGATAAAGGACACAGAAAGCTTAATGAGACTTTCAGGCAGAATTGAATGTGAGAGCCCAAATCGACACCTCTATGATTTTGTTGGAAACATCAGACTGGATGGGCATGGGTATGTAAATACAAGGAATGAGATTTCAGGATATTCAGTCTATCAGTAGATAGCTATATGTTGTTAAACTACTGAAGTTAAAATATGAATAATAAATCTTTTTTTTATTTATTCCTTGCTAGACTTTATTCTTTTAAAAAAACTAAGGAGATAAAACCTTACTTCTAATGTCTACAGCTGGAGTTGTTATACTAGTTGTCCTTCAGAAAGCAATATCTATTAATAATAGAAGAGAGTGCTGATCATATTATGATAGTTCTGGAATATGTATGTAGTAACTCACTTCTTAAGCATCTCATCTGTTATGGAAGCTGAATAGAAATAGTTTCTTCTCCGTTTTTTTTATTATTGTTTTCTTCTGTTTAAGTCTGGAGTGGAATGGAGTCCATCACTGTATACCTCAAATTCTTCTAATTTGGTAGCTGAAAGATGTTTAATACCTTAGGTTACTGAAAGTACATTCCTTTCAAAAGAGACCACGGGCATTTACAACACATATGCTTGTAAAACTGCTCCAAAAATTCTTAAAATACTTACATGCTTACCAGGTGCTGATATTTGGAGTCTTCTGTGAGTTCACAGAATATTCCTTGCTTAATCCAGAATTATTGAGTCGTTCACTCCCAAAGATTTACAGTATTTCTTATTTATTTGGTAGATATTTATTCCTTCATACCCAGAATTATTCATGTTTGTGGTTTTAGACTAATACATATAGTACTAACTAATTATTAAATACCTCTTTTTTTTCCCCTTAATATTCCATTTTTTATTTACTGATTTCTTACAGATCCATTCCAGGAGTTTTCAGTCGCAAGAGTGTGGATCTATTGTAATTCCACTGTACTTGTCATTAAGAAGAGAAAAACATTTACCTGTAATTCTTCTCTGAAGGTAATAGTTATAACAGATCCACACATGCGGTCTTACTCCCTGGCTAGAGGGCAAAACACACTTTTCTTTTAAATTGAATAATTTAATTTTTTTTAAATTGATTTAAAAAGTAAATATTGAATGTGATGATGGCTATTATGCCTCAAGAATGTGTAGGAGTACGCCATCTGCTGGTCAAGTAATTTATTTGAGAAATTCAGTTTGAAATATTTTCGCTATAGTTCCTGTGCAGTAGGATAGTTCCAAAAGTGTGGCTCTAATATAATATTTACCTTCAGTGAAAAAGAATTGCAGGTAAGTAACTCTTTTTGGATCCTGACCTTACTTCAACCTGAAAAATCAGGGATGAGTTCTTTTTTGCCCATCTTAGAGGTAGCACAAATTCATCTAATTGATATTTATTTATCCAGATCTTTAAGACCTTCCTACCAGTTTATGTAGATCGAGCAGTTGTGATTTACACTTTATTCACTACCATCTTAACATATTTGCAGAAGTGGTAGAGGATACTGAAAATGTATCTCCCTCTTCCAATAACTTTGTTAAAGTTACTGGAGTGCCATAAATGTTGCATCTGGTTGACCTCTTCAGTCTTTTTCCCTTCACTGGAGAGCAAATTAAAAAAAAAAAGTTTGGGTTTTGTTTTTTTTTTCTTTTGGATACTCTGTATTCAAGGAGGTAGAACACCATTACAGTTATTTTGCCTTTAGCTAAATCTGTGGACTAAAAGAGGCAAAACTTCTCTTGGTATCCTCAGCTTCTGAGTGAGCTAACTCTTAACTCCAAAGTTTGCAACTCTTTATTAAGCTCATAAGTATACAGAAGTGTGTCAACTTGATTTTAGTCCATGAAGACAATTACCTAGAGAAAGGAGAACAGTTCTTTAGCCTGGGTTAATTTGAAATTACAACTAGCCAATGGCTTGGATAATGGTGAGGACATTGTGCAAAACAAAGAGAGATACTGATTATCTAGACCAGAAGTAAATTCTTTACTGAAGACATTCTTAAAATTTTGAATAAAAGTATACTTGTTACCAAAATGATTTTGGTATGTAAGCTTTCAAATGTGTCTTAGAAATTACTATCTCTTTATATACCCTTGACCGCTCTGTCAGGAAAGTATTCTGAAAGGATATTTTCCCATTCAGAGCATCCTTTACTGAATACTACCTGAATGTGTTGCTGAGAGTCATTAGTTTTGTGGAATACAAGAGAAATCAGATGAGTTGGATCAGTTTTGAGAAGGCTGAGGCTGGGAAATAAGACGCTTGAGATCTGTCATGTCATCGCATCATGGCCTCATTAGAGAGTGGAGTATGATGACAATGTTGAGGATTAGTAGCATAATACCTGGCAGATCTGAGCTTTCCACGCCTCTGGTTGCTTTGCTCTCTGTTTGCATCTCCTTGGTCTGTGCACGAGTTCTACTGGACACAACTCCCACTGGCTGCAATCCCAGTTCTCTTCTGATTGTCTTCCCAGTAAAAGACTTGGGAATGAAGTCCTGTCCAAGTTAAATAATGGTATCCATCTGAGAGCCACTGTCCTGATGGGAAAATAAATCAGTGAATTCTGCAATAGAGAGGACTTTACTACATATTCTTCACAGTTTTTAGAAAGGGAAAACAGAGGAAGATTGGGAAGTGGCAGAAACAGGCTTAGAACTCACCTGATTCTTGAAGGAGTACAAGAGTTAAGAGTTGAAGGTTTTGACTTCTGCTTTCCTCTCATTTATTAGGAGAAGGCACAGAAAGTCTTTTGGCATTCCAGAGAAAGTCCACAGTTCAAATATTTCCAGTTTATCTAAGGGAGACTTGCATATAGCTGTAGAGAGTTATTTTCCTTTCATCTTCTGTGGCATTCGTGTAATAGACTGAAAATATCTCATTATTGTTGGAATGATAGGTAATCCATTCCTGAATGGATTGAAATGTCTGTCTTGTGTTGATGAATGATCCTAAAGCCTTAGAATGGTTCTGATCACGGAATGCAAGTAAATACAAGTGCAGAAGCAATCTTTGTTGGAAACAGGGGTCTCTCCTAATGATTCTTGAGTAATTCAAACCCCAGATGTTCCTTTCATACTTGAAAGGATATTCAGTCTCCTAATTTTGCCATGATGTGAACACAAATACAAGAGCAGCAAAGTTCAGATTTAGAAAGTAAGTTAATATTGGTGAATATGTTTAATATCAGTAAATATGCTTTATATTTCAGTTTTCTTTTCCAATATGTTCTTTTGATGCAGATCCTGCACCTAAAAATTGTTTTCCATGGCAATATCATTCAGCATTTCAGTTGCTGAGATATTCTTTGTGGCTGGGGAGAACAATTCCTTAATCAGTCAGTATGCTCTCTGATAGTTTCCTAGAAAGTAAGTGGACTAAGCTGTAGTGGGAGACAGGCTGGTTGTTAGTTATTTGTTTTTAATAGAAAATCACTCAAATATTTTTCCAGAATAATTTTGTCCTAGTTTCTATAAGAACTGATTCCAAAAAACTTGTTTGCCACTGTTGATTTTTGGAGAGGAGTAATGTGTTGTTTCCTCTTTATTTGCAGTCTTTGAGTCTTAAAATTTTGTGTAAGAGGAGGGAGGGGGACATGATGATCCAGAAGAAATTATTACCTGAAACTTGCTCACTGAGACTGACTGTATTCTCTGTGCTACCCAAAATGTTACCAAATATCATGGCTTTCTCAGACACTTTTTATCTTATATATCAGAGGTTTAGTTGCTGTCATCAGTCAGTTTATTTGTGATCTTCATAATGTGTTGGTTTAGAGACACCAGTTTTAAATAAAAATGCCAAACATTAGAGCACTTTTGACAAATTTGAACTGGTAGCTGGTATTTATAGAAAGAAAAGCACCAAAATAGAGCATGATTGTCCAAAGAAGAGAGTAATAATAATCTTTTTATATTTTAAGAAAAATATTGAGCTGCATTATGAGGTCAGCTGTCTGAATTTAAGACAGTTCAATATTTCCAATGTCTTCTGAAGGTTTGTTGCTTCTTTACTTCATGCAGTTCTAAAAGAATAACAGAAAAAAATTTACCTGATTTTGCAGTTAAAAGAAGGTGCATGAAATATTATTTTGAATGTTAAATAATTGTGTTAATAAAGGATATTTATTTCTCTGGAAGAGTGAATTAAGCTAAGAGTTCATAGAATTACTTCTTTTGAAAATTGCTTCTGAACATCAATTTTTTAAGAGAAAAGTAGATAAAAGCTTTGTAGTCATAAATCACAGGAAAATTAGACATTTTTGGTTTCAGTATGCTTACTTAGTAGTACCATATCAAAATTAGTAGTCCATAATAAAAATTAAGTGGTATGTAATATTTTTGGAAACTTGTTTTAAGTGTGATTGTTTAAATGTTAAAATGAAAAACTCCTTCCTTCTAGTACTGTTCCACTGGGATCTGATCAGATTCTTCTGCGAGGAGCTCAATTGAGAAATACTCAGTGGGTTCATGGGATAGTTGTCTATACTGGACATGACACAAAACTTATGCAGGTTTGTCACTTGGACTTTCTCTAAACTGTTTTGCTACCTTAATTTATCATTCCACAGTAAATCCCTTCAGAAAACGTGGCTTGATTCAATATAGTAGTACAATGTCAGTAATAGTATCTTTCATATGAACTAAAACCAATAAAAAGTTCTTGTTATTTTTAGTCACTTAGTCACAAAGTAGCTTTTCCAGCATATTCATTGATACTATTTTGTAACTTGTGCTTTGAAAACTTTTTTATTAGCAAGTCAGACCATTGTAGTTTTCCTGTTCCTCTTTTTTTGTTTTTGACTGCTCCTAAAACTTTGGAGCTTTTCTTGTGGAGCTTTCTTTCAAGTACAAAGGTAAGCATTCTTGTCAGAAAACAAAATGAGGAGGGAAGAGACTGAAATTACTTTACCTACTGTGTTTTGAAATACCAAAATTGAGATGCATTTGTTGAGAAAAAGGAATGCTTTCAGATTGGTCATGGATGTCTTATTTTTTGCTTTCCCTGTTTGTAAAATAGTTCCTTGGGAAAGTGTGTTTGTGTTAGCATTTGTCTTCTACAGCACTGATACAGTATATGCGCATTCACTTTTGATGCTTACTGATAGCTGTTACTGTTGCGAGTGTTCTGTGTGATTGTTTAAACTGCTTCTGAAACAAATCTAAAGCTTTAATTCATAAATTTATAAGCTGCTTTTTTTTTTTTCAGTAAAACAGGGCACTTTCATGATGTATTTGAGAGAATATTTAGAAAAGGATGCAGTAATGTAATTTGAAAAGCAAGAACCATTTCACTGCATCTAATAGCCACTCTTGTTTTTTGTCCTTTGCAGAATTCAACAAGTCCACCTCTTAAAATGTCTAATGTGGAACGGATAACAAATATTCAGATTCTGATTTTGTTCTGCATCCTTATTGCCATGTCTTTGATCTGCTCTATTGGTTCAGCTATATGGAATCGAAGGCATACTGGAAGAGATTGGTATCTTGATCTAAACTGTAAGATGTAAAATAATATTTTAGTATTCAATTGCCTTTTGTATTTGGAAAGGAGGAGGATTACCATCCTTTGCACAGTGGGTTTTTTTGTCAGTCTCACTCTTCTGGTTGTTGACTAAAGTAATTTGGCTAGGTATATCTCAATAAGTAGAAGATTTACCTTGTTGTGCCACCTAAGCTCTTGCTGAATTCAGTATGGGTGAGATTTGTTGTTTACCTCTGCATCTTTCAGGCACCACATCTCTGCAGCTCAGCAAAGTCTGTATCAGCGTTCCGCTGACATGAACAGCCAACTTCCTAAACATCAGACTGAAACCACTTTGAGCTATTAGCAATAGATTACATTTAAAGCTTGCAACCGGACTTGTCTATCTCGCATTGGCCTTTTAAGCCATCAGCGCACTTGTAGCAAGCGTGGGTAGAGCCCTTCTCAAATCTTCATTCGTGAAGCCCAGCCATGATGATGACATTGAAAGCTGCAGTGACTTTTCTGAGTTTTTAAACTCACTTATCCCAGGAAGTGATGCTGTGGCTTTATGATTTTTACTATACAGAGATTTAACTAATTATTGGCTGCAAACCTCAGATGTTAACAAACTTTTCCTGAAGACAGATAAAAGAGGCAAAATGTTTTCATCTAATATTTTATACTGGACAGCTGTGCTTAAAATGGATGCAAGACAGTGTGATGTTATTTAGGTCTTCACGGCAGAATGCAACCTGTTGACATATTTTGACCCTCTGTGAGAAAACTGGATTTAAGGGAAGTTTTCATGAATATATTTTGTGGTCAGTTATTCATGTTTCCAGAATTTCCTACTGTGGGTTTAAAGCCTTCTTTACTTAGGCAGTAGAACCAGAACTAGACTTTCTGCTTCTGAAACAACAGTACAAAGCTTCTGAATGTAGGCATCAAAGCAGGGATTATAGGGGTTTGGCCAGTTTTAAAAGAAAAATCTTGGCATTCTGATTTGAAGGCACTCAAAGATTCTGTGTCTGCCTTTATGATGAACTATTATTTACTGGGAACCTTGCTTCTTTTTAATGCTGAGGAAGAAACTTTTTTTCTTTCTTTTAATTAAGATGGTTTGACGAGTATCTGAATATTATTTTATTTACTGGTAGAAATAAGTATCAAACTTCTTTAATCTTAGTAGTCATTACTGAGAATATCAATGTCATGGTGAATGTTAGCTCTCTGGTTTTTTATGTATTTCATTTGATGCTGGAATTTGTATTAATGAACACATCCAAAAGCTTCTCTCCTGAATCTTAGATTAACAATCAGATCCACATTGCATAGGCAGTGGAAACCTATCTGATGCTATTTTTCTGTGTGATATTTTCTGTGAGATATCTGAAGGCTGACTCCATCTTTTACCATTTTCCTGTACTGGACACCAGATTTTCCCATTCACATTCTCTCTGAGGTGCTACTGTTAGAGTTATCTAAAAGGAAAAACTAGTATAAAACTGCTTGTTATGTATGTTAATATTCACATTTCCAGTTGTTTTAGAACTTCCATTAAACTCTCTAATTTTATCTCTTCTCTTCATGGAGTGTGAATTTACCTTTCTAATGGTATTTGGTGGGTTGAGGGAGAGTTTACAATGATGTGAGGGTGAATAGAGAAAAAATTCATTCCATTATGTATTTCCCCCTTTCAGAATATAAAACTGTAAAATTTTGAGTTTATAATTTGGTTGTGTATATAGATATTACCAAATTATGACCTTAAAATATAGCAAAGGAGAGAATGACTGGTAAGTTTGGTTTTCAGAAATTATAGTAAATTTGAACTCCACTATTATAATAGAGATCCTTAACTCTGAGGAAGGTCATATTTATAGGCAAGTCATACTATAATTAATTCCAAGGTTTCCTCTTAAACTCAGAATATTTTAAAAATCAGCAGTTAATGAAATATTCTGAATACACTGTGTATATGTACTTCCAAGTACAAATATTCATTTGCTTTGCTTTGGTTTTTGGCAGATGGTGGAGCAAGCAACTTTGGATTGAATTTCTTGACTTTTATCATTCTCTTCAATAATCTTATTCCAATCAGCTTGTTGGTTACACTTGAAGTTGTTAAATTTATCCAGGCATATTTCATAAATTGGGTAAATATTATTTTTATAATATTCATTGACTTCTAAAATCAAGTGGTTTACAAGTAAATGAAAAGATGGATTGCTTGTCTATGTATACTTTTTTTCAGACTTTCTTTAAATGTACACAATAAAGTATGCTGTTTATTTATTATTACTGGACTCTGAGAAGGTAATAATACATTGTTTTATTTATTGCTCTTATACCTGCACAAGATTGATTTTTTGAAGCGTATTTTTGTGCCTTTTTACTTTCTCATTATTGACATTCAGGTACCAGTTTTCATTCAGAATGATCAGAAGAAAATGTTTTGCGGTGCTGGGGAGTTTTGTCCAGTTTCGTTTCTTCTTTCTAAACTTACCCTGTGTTTTGATTTTTTTGGCATTTTGCTGATTTTTTTCACAGCACCACCAGAGTTTAGTGGAGTGGGATTTTTTTTACAAAGAAAGTGTCTGATAGTATTATCACTTAGGAAATATATAGACTTCATTTTAGCATCCTTTAAATTTTTTTTCTAATGAATTAATGAGGGGAAAGAAGGATTTACTCTAACTCTGGGGTGGGAGTGAGATGTTCTCCTTAAAGCCATATAAGTATGCCTTCCATTTTTCTGTTTTTTTCCTAATGCAAATTAATCATACCATTCTGAACACTTTATTCTGATTGCCTTATCAAATGTGTGAAATAGATTATTATGTGTGAGATATGTCATGCAGATACAGATAATAATGTATGTGGAGTAGCAGGTCAAGCAAATGCTTTATTTTAAAAGTTAAATACTTTTGTAAGCAGTCAACTGGTTTTGATTTCCTAATTTTTTTTGTCCTATAAAACGAATTGTTGACAAATAGGAGAACTCAGTAAAGTCTTCCTTTATGTTCTTTATTTTAAAATAAATATTCAATAAGACCCACCCATTTTGAATGTGTAGATTGCCTCTGTTCATATAAGAAATACAAAAGACAATTTTAACTTCTCTTCCCATCCCAGTAGCATTTAATTTATCTTATTGGGACTCTGGACATTTATCTTAAACATTATCTCTGTGTGTATGTAGATCCTACTGGTGTGCAGAATGTGTGTTGGTCATCTGCAATCTGTTGCAATATGTTGCTATACTTCACAATGTTTAGATCTTTTACTGTATTTAAAAGTAAATTTTGATGTTTATTTTTTAACAAGTAAAAAGAAAAAACCCTCACCACTTACAATGTATCTTGCATTTATTGTGTAGTCTTAAATTTATCTTCATGTTTTTATCTCAAGATATATTTATCTTGATACTTAGAAATGACTGGTTATGCATACAATAAAAATAGATAAGACTGATTTCTTCCTAAGAGTTAGTGTAGTATTTCTGCTTGTTGCTAAGTTCATTTTAGATGCGTAGGTACAACAGTTTTTCAGTAATACAGATCACTTGAAATAATGTGAATGAAATCTCTCATGAGAAGATCTTGTTTCTTTTGTGGACTCTTAGAAGTGATCTGATTGTATCAGTGGCTTGCTGTGTTGAAATAATCTTAAGCAGATCTGTTCCTGTTCAATCGTTTCTTCTACACTTACCTTTTCTATTTATGTACCAGATTTTTTCTAAGAAGTTATGGAAGACTAATTTTTAAATACATACACATTTTTTTTTTATCTGTAGGACATTGACATGCACTATGAACCTACAGACACTGCTGCGATGGCTCGTACTTCCAATCTCAATGAAGAACTTGGACAGGTAGAAAAAAAAATTAATGGTTCTAACCTTGTGTATTGAAACTGTTCATATGATGACTTATTTCAAACTGTGTTCTTGCCTTCGTGTTTGTGTATTTCTATTGTCTTTTGTTTGGTCAGATAGTTTTAAAAACACTTTGCAATATGAGCAAATTACATTTTTGAAACCACTATTAAATGAACAATCACTGTATCAATGTGGATGTGGTAATCACAGGAGATTGAAGTGCATCATTAAAATTACAAAATCAGAGGAATTTTGAGCATTAAGGCTGTCTATGGCACAATATTTAGTCTTAGTATATACCGTTATGATGGTGTATGTCTTTAGTGTGCCATTTTATTCCACACACTCTGCCTTGCTCAGAAGAGACAGTGAGTACTCTCTAGGATTGAATCACAATTGTATAATGTCCTCATTTTTTCCCACTGACTGGAAGCCGTGACTGGAATGGGGGCTCATTGCTGAATTAAGCCCTGGAAAATTGGGGTTGTGGTGGGTTGAACTGGGCTGGATGCCAGGTGCCGACCCAGCCGCTCTATCACTTCCCTCCCCAGCTGGACGGGGGAGAGAGTAAGAGGGAAAACAATTTGTGGCTATGGATAAAGCAGTTTATTAAAGCAGAAGCAAAGCAAAAGCTTGCCCGCACAAAAGCGGGCAAGAAAGATAAGTTTTATTCTCTACTTCCCATCAGCAGTGATGGTCGGCCACTTCCGAGAAGCAGGGCTTCAGCACATGTAGTGGTTTCTTAGCAGGCGTAAAAGACTGTAGTGGGTTGACCCTGGCTGGATGCCAGGTACCCACTAAAGCTGCTCTCTCACTCCCCTCTGCAACTGGACAGAGGAGAGGAAAAAAAAACAATGGAGGATTCACGAGTTAAGAGCTGGGAGAGGTCACTTACTGATTACCTTCACAGGCAAAACAGTGGGGATATTACTTAAATTTATTGCTAACAGGATCAGACAAAAGAGTGAGAAGTAAAGTAATCTTAAAAACACCTTCCTTCTACCCCTCCTTCCTTCCATATTCTCCCTCTTCCCCTCCAGCAGTGCCGGGGGACAGGGAATGGAGGTTACAGTCAGTTGTTGTTTCTGCCACTGCTCAGAGAGAGGAGTCCTTCCCCTGCTACCATGAGGTCCTCCCCATGGGAGACAGTCCTTCACAGACCTTTTTAGTAGGAGTCCATCCCACAGGCAACAGTAATTCATGAAACTGCTGTCCCGTGGCTCACTCCTTCATGGGGTGCAGTCCTTCACAGATGAGCTGTACCGGTGTGGGTTCCCCTCAGGGGCCACAAGTCCTACCTGGGGAAGACCTGCTCTAGCGTGGGTTTCCCTCTCCTCAGGCTTCAGGTCTCCATCAGGACCCTGCTCCATCTTGGGCCTCCCATGGGGTCACAGCCTCCTTTGGCGTCCACCTGCTCCAGCAAGGGCTCCTCCATGGGCTGCAGGGGGGTCTCTGCACTCCGATGTCCCTCCCTGGGCTGCAGGGGCACAGCTGCCCCACCATGGTCTGCCCCACGGGCTGCAGGACCTCAGCTCCAGCTCCTGGAGCACCTCCTGCTCCTCCTTCTGCACTGACCTTGGTGTCTGCATTGTTGTTCCCATGTTTTCACTCCACTCTTCCCTGTCTGGAATTCTTTCTGCGCAACATCCTTCCATTCTTAAATATGTTATCACAGAGGCTTTATTATCATTCCTAATTGTCTCAGCCTTGGCCAGCGGCAGGAAGCCTGTCCTGACTGGCATTGACTCCAGCAGACAGGGGAGGCTTCTAGCAGCTTCTAACCGAAACCACCCATGTAGCTCCCCCACTACCAAAACCTAGGCACAAAAACCCACTACAAGGGTTAACTCTTCATTTTGATTTAGAGTTCTCTTTTAATACTGTAAAATCAGTTAGACTTTACACAAGAGATCACTTGTTGTGTGTTCTTCATGTTATGGAAGTATGACTTTGTAGAAGTGTGTCTGAGGCACAGGTTAGTTCTAGAAGCACTACACGATATATTTGCTGTTTCAATCAATTGTGTTTACAGTCTTGATTTAAAAACATGCTAAGCTTTTTGATACACTGGTGATGGAAAACTGTTTCTGTGGAAAAAAATTCACATGCTTATTTAATTGAATTGTATTATAAACACAAGTATGCACATTCTTGCATTTCCTAGCCTTGAAGTTTTCATAACTAATACTTTATTGCATGAGAATGTAAAAGTTGTTTCTAGCTTTCCAAAAGCAATAAATAATAACATAATTTTAGCCATATAGCCAAGTCTTATGGACTACTACTTAAGAGATGTACCTTTTGGTAAAATTAGTTGAAGATTAACATGATCTAGGACTGGTCTAGTTAGAGGACAGGGCCTGTGCCTGCGCCTGCTGGGCTTAAGATGTATATGCAGAAAATTTTGTTCTTTTCTTGGCCTTTAAAGGAGTACAAACCCCTCTAGTGGGTAAGAGTCTCTGCTGAATCTTAGCTTTCCATCTGTTTCACTTTACACAATCTGTTTTTTCTGTCTCTGGAGTTAGTTTGTTATTCACATTCCCAGACACATTCCTTTTTTTTGACTTCAGTAATTTTTGTCTTCACTTCTTAGGTTTCTCATAATTTTCCTTCACCATCAAGAGGTAGTCAGACTTCTTGGGATCTCCACTTTCACTTTTTTGACAGATTCTTAATTTAAACAGATTTTTGTAGGGAGGCCAGAGGACTCTACTAACAAAGAAGTGTAGGTTTCTGCCTTTAAATACATGAGGGCTGCACATAATGAAGAGAAGACTTACCCCAAGAGATCTTCAGGTTTTAAGGAAAAACTTTGGTATTGGGAGAAAAGGTTGAATTTTCTTAGCTGCAATTCCTGCTTTCCAAATATGTCCACACAACAAAAAAAAAACCACACACACACACACACACACAAAAAAAAAAAAAAAAAAAAAAAAAAAAAAAAAAAAAAAAAAAAAAAAAAAAAAAAAAAAAAAAAAAAAAAAAAAAAAAAAAAAAAAAAAAAAAAAAAAAAAAAAAAAAAAAAAAAAAAAAAGCCAAACAAAAAAACACTTGAGGCATAAACCTGGCACAGAAAATTTCTTCTAAATGCTGATTTGGCTAAGTCATAATCCCTCAGAAACATTATTGCTAATACATAGCCTTATTAGTTCCAGGTAAAATGTAGCTCATTCCTAATTAATAATCCTGGAATTTTTTTTAATGAGAAATGAATTTTAATGAATTAAAGTTCAAATTTACCTTTGACTATTAGAACCTTTGGTTTATCACAGATGACTTCATTTCATCATATATTAACTTTTTTCTTAAAATTAGGTTTAAACTAAATTTAAATATATCACAGATTCTTGTATTTCAGCTTTGAATTTTAAAATACTTTACTGGTTTCTGGAACAGATAATGCTAGGGAAATAGGAGACCTGAAGTAGGTAGAAAGGCATATATCTCCTCTATTCCTGTAATTTGACATTTCTAAACTCTTGCTTTAAGAGTTTGGCTTTAAGAAGATATTTCTGTGTCAAAAAGATGGGTTTAGAAATGCATATAGATACTTTTCTTACCATATTGCTTTCTGTCAGAAATGTAGTGTTTTGCTAGCAGAGTCATTGGTCTTCACTAGTTTCTTGCACTTCAATAAAAAATACAGTGAGGGATAGTTAAGTATACTGCTGACCACTGAAGCAGGTTTATGTTTCCTGACATCTCAGTTTCGGACAACTGTTTGGAAATGGGTATGAAGGCTGTGCAACTGCCATGTTTATGTACTGGTTTTGTTGTTGGGGGATTTTCTGTAAACTGTGAAAATTGCAGAACCAGTAAAAATATTTAGTGTGTTGATAGTCATGAATTGTACTAGATGTGTCACTAACTGCCAAATGTTAATGTGTAATGAATTTTATCGTTCATTTAGGTCAAATACATATTTTCTGACAAAACGGGTACCCTGACATGCAACGTCATGCAGTTTAAGAAGTGTACTGTAGCAGGAGTTGCGTATGGGTAGGTATTTTTATTCACTTTTCTTTATCTGTGTGCCTCTGCCTGTCCATGGACACCCGTGCTACAGTTAAAATAAACTTACACCTGATAACTAGCAGTCAGTTTGTTTGTGACTATGAAATGTCACTTACAAGAGGTATCAGCACTTCTGTCCCGACATTTCCTTTTGCAGAGAGGAACAAAAACGAAGTTGAGATACCAAAGGCTTTCTGCTGTCAGGCAATCTCAGTATGCATGTTTTGGCTATCATGTAGTCTGATTAATGTTGTTACAAAATAAAAGCCTGAGGAAAGACTTACAAACATTTAAGGGTTTATAATTTATAAAGCCTCAAGAGAAATACCATATTTTTGCAATTTTCATTGCAACCTAGGCATTTGCAAAATAGTCTTTTGAAAAGCTTTTTTTTTAATAATTTAATTTCATTAACTAACTACTTTTTTTTATATGCAATCAATTTTTTTAGCATTTGTGATCCTTTTTTCCTCTCCCTGTTTCTATTTTCCCATGCTTCTTGTGCAGCCATTGCCCTGAGCCTGAGGATTTTAGTGTTCCTTCAGATGATTGGTAAGCTCTAAAAATAATTTAGTTTGTGGTGTTTGTTGAACATGGAATTTTAAAACCCGTGATTGATATTTTAAGAAACAGAGCTAAATGTGAGGTATTTTACTACTCAGAAGTTATTTTAGCTTTGAATTGATGCAGACTGACAGTCTTACACAAATTTAAGTCATCCAAATTCTGTGGCATTAGGTTGTGTACTCTGAAATAGCATCGCTAATAGGATCACTGAAATACAGCACAGTTATTCTACTGACAGTTCTGTACAATTCAGAATTGCTTAGCAGAGAGAAAGTTTTGTCATTCATTGAAGTATGTGGTATTACAGTCACATGATCACACTTTCTACTGTTAGTTAGTAATATGTTAGAAATAATTCCTAGCATGTTTGGGAAGAAAATCCATATTTGAGAGTGAAAAATATGTAAAGTTATTCTTAATATTTTACTTCCTACGGATAGTTTTATGATATTAGTACTACCTGGTTCTTAACTGAAACTGAAATTAGAGCACCCAAATATACTTGGGACCAGTGTTAATCTATTAATAGGGACCTCAGGAAAGAAGAAGTCCTAGTTTCCTTTCTGCTGCTATCTCCATGGTGCCTTGTACCTCTTCATCATACTTTCTTAAACTAAATATTTGCAATACCATTCAAAATAAGCTCAGGTGCATCAGGTAAGAAATATCATTTGCAGTCTTTAAACAATCAATATTGTATTTGTTGAAAGTTATGACAAGGTAGGTCACACAAAATTATAGTGTGTCATCATCTTTTGTTTAAAGTGTTTGAAGAAAAAGTAATCTTTACTAAATTGGAACGAATAATTCTTTGTTTAGATAACAAATAAAAAAAAAAGAACATTTCCCCCAACACCACACAAAATGTGACACACGTGCACACTGAAAATCCTCATTTGCTGTAGAAGTAAAATATTTCTTAAAGATATGTAAGTGTGCTTAACTGCATAAGAGTGGTTTCATTAAAATAATGCAGTGTTTACATGAAATTAAGCACACTTGCTTCTTAGCTATTTATGAAAATAGACTGGTTTTTACTAATATACACAAAAATCTTTATAAGCCCATCTGAAATGGATAAACTGATATCTGAGCTTTAGTTAAAAGAAAGAAGTCAAACTAGTACTTCCCTTTTATAGGCATTGAACATCTTGTAAATATTTATGAAATAAGATACTTAATAAATTTGTGTATAAATCTATTGCAGTTAATAAAATCTGTTTGCGACAGTAACATTTCTAGTCCTAAAATGACTAATGTACTAAATCCCAAGTTTTTTAAACCTTTATTTTTTGTATTAGAAAGAATTGTTTTCGAGTTTGACACAACATATACCTGCAAATATTTTTACTTATTTTAGCCAGAATTATTCTATTTATTTTAGTCAGAAAGCTTTAAGAAAACAAAACTTAAAGCTTGGACTCTAAACAAATACAGCCTGTCTAAAGATGTTAATGTTTGGCACTTCAAGATCTATTTGCCCTTCATTTAAAAAAGAAGTCTTGATGAATGAGAATGCTTCAGATTTTTCTGTTTCAGTTAGAAAAAGTAGTCCTTGTACTTGTAGTGGCTGTATAGAGAAGGTTCTGCATTTTCTATTCCTCCATGGTAGTTAGTGCAGGACTAAAACAGCTCACTTTTCATAGAGAATCTTTAGACTACCTATGATATATATGGCTTATCCTTTAACTTAAATCACCAAATGTGTTTACTGTTTTGTAAGATTACGTGATCCAAGGCAAAACCCAAAGTAAATGGAAGAAAAAAACCAGCTTTCTTCCGAGTGCGTTCGCTGTTTTCTTTCACTCAAATTCAAACTCAACTAGATCATCCTAATACTCAACAGTAAGCTCCAGTAACAAGTCTTTGTAGAAGTATCTACATTTTTGAGCTTTCAGCTTCAGCCAGAATATTTGCGCATTTGGAGAGATGTTAGTGTATGACTTTACTTCTCCAGAACCATCTCCTCCTTGTATCTCTTCAGTCCCTACTTCGCCATTGTTGCTGTGTCTTCTTTATCAGTTTAATATGTTCCTTTTTGGTCATCAGTTTCATATATTCATTTTTGGTCATATAGAATAGAAAACAAACCCTCTCCAAGCAGACTTCTCTGATGTCTGAACTCAGTTGATTACTTCTTTCAGCTATCAGACTTCCTTTTCTACAAATATTTAGAAAACTATTCCAAAACTGCTAATTTTTTGATAAAATGTTCTCTCTTTGGGAATTTATTTTCCTGAGTCCCTTATACAATCTCATTCTAGAGACTGGAAGACAAGAGGGCACAGTCTTACATTGTAGATGTATTTTTACTTCATCCCTCATTACCTGAAGTCAGCAGAGAGACTTTCCTGGATTTAAATATATTTATGTAAATCGAGGTTTCCTTAAATAGATAAACTTTGGAGATGTGAAACAAGTACTTTTTCAGTTCTTTTTCTTACAGTGTGTGATTGCAGCCTTTACTGTAACAGCTACAACAAAAAATTTGTCTTTGATTTATTTGTATATAAATTGTTAAAATGATGCTAAGGGTGATCTCTTTTTATTTAATTATTTCTAGGCAGGGCCCACAAAATGGAGAAGAAAAAACATTTAGTGACTCATCATTACTGGAGAATCTTCAAAACAATCATGTAAGTTATATAGAAAAAATTATCATTGTTCTGGGAAATCAAACTGTTGCTTTCAATAAGTCAAAAGATGATGTCCTTTGAAGGAAGATGAATGGTATATTTACACATAATCAGCATGACCTCATGAATACTTTTATAATTGTTGCTGATACGTGTTAATTAGATCCAGTTCATTTTTTCCCGACTTTTTTTTTTTTTTTAATGTGATTCAGGTGTTATAAGTCTGAAGTAGCCTTGTGTTCTTCATTCTTTGGGTGTTTTAACAGTAGTCATGCAGTTTATATGATGTCATGACATCCATTAAAGCTTTCAGGGTGAGTCAAGTTAACTTACCATCCTGCCATGACTTACCTAGGCTTAGGCAGGAGTCATGGATTAACCATATATATGGTAATATATAACAAGCAGGTTTGTGTACATGCTTCATTTGCCCCAAAGAGATAACACATTTCTCAGGAAGCTAACAGCTTTGTTTATAAATTGACTAAGAAACAGTACCATCAATACCACTTTCTGTTTGTTGTTTGTACAAAAAATGTTTTTATCTAGTAGTCATAAGCAAGAACACCTACTTTAAACAGTGTGTTTTTTCTCTTTCCAAGGAGTGTAAATAAATTACTCTTTTCTTTCCGTGAAGTTTTTCTTCCCAGGAGGCTAGTTCCAGTTTAACTGGCAAACTATGAAGCATTTTTTGTTATAAATGGGGCAACATTTAATGGTAGACACCTGAATGCAACTCTGAAGTGTATCTAAAGCAGAGGGGACTCTTATACTTACCTGCAAGGGCCATTTGTATTGTGCTAGTAATATATATAGTAGCATAGTTTAAAAGAGTCATTGTCTATTACTGCTGTTGTCTGAATGTCCTTGGTGTGCAAGTGTTGAATCATAAAAGTTTTCTGATAGATATGCAGTATTAAGTATGTATAATATGAGCGTGCAAGCTATAAAAATGCATTTTTAAAAATCTTTAAAATTCAGGCACACGTTCAAAGAGAGATTTCACCACTGTATTTTAAATGTGTTCTGAAGTGCTTTGGAAAAGAATTTGTAATTCAACCTTCTGAATACATATTAGGGGATCTGGAGGCCCTCAGTGGAAGAGAACAGGGACCTGCCCCCATTAGTGTTTTTGCACTATGGAATAAAGTTAGGTTTTCTGAGATTATTGTATTTTATAGAATAATTGCAATGTTATTCTTAGTTTGCTAATAATCTGAAGTACTATAATATGCTACAAGAAACCCTCAGCTGAGGTGGCAGCTGCTTTGAGGGGGAGTGCTGGCATTTCTTTTAAACAACTATTCAGGAGTCAGTTCATTCATTTTGCAAAAGTCAGTTGTACTAATAAGGTTCTTAACTATATTCTTCAAATCCAGTCAACTATTTTGCTTTTATAATTTATTTTCCCCTCTTTTGGCTTAATAGTTTCAAATTTTTTTCAACTTTGTACTCTTTGGAGTGCCTGATACATTCATCTAAATGTCTTTCTTTAAAAGCAGACTGTCTGATATTGCAGCATTTACTGTGTGATTTTCAGTTGCTGCATCTTTCTAGAGATTCTTGAAATGTGTTGTCAAATATAGTATTAGACAAAAGTAAGAGATTATTTTTAGTAGAAAACACAACATCTAAAGAAACTTGTGTGAATAAAGTAAAAATCTTTCAATACATCATTCACACTTGCCTTCCCTAAAACATGCTTATTTGAATTGTTCTGTGTATCTTGTTGCCTCAATTTGATTGTTATAATAGGAAATGCCACTAAATTCTGTTTATTTAGCTGGTATCTAAGTACAGCAGCAGAAAGTTATTCTACATGCTAAAATTAGTGTACAGATAATTTTTAAAGGAAAGAGGAAGAATCTTTCATTAAATTATTTTTTACTATTATTTGTCTTTATCTATTACTACATTTTGATTGTTTATTGCTTAAATGATTAGTCTCACTCTGATGTCTTTTTTTATTCTTAGCCAACTGCACCTATAATATGTGAGTTTTTGACAATGATGGCAGTGTGTCATACAGCTGTTCCAGAAAGGGAAGGTGATAAAATCATATATCAAGCAGCATCTCCAGGTGAGACTCAAATAACTGAGTGAATATACAGTAAAATATTTTATCAACTCAACAAATAAATTTTATTCACTTTATTGGTTTTTTTAAGTCTCTTCCAAAATTAAAAAAGATCTATCCCTCAAAACAGAATTGGTGTCATCTAAAATCATTTTTATCTAAAAAGGACTTAGACTTTTTAAATTCTCTTTAGAAAATGCATCTAAATGTCCCATGGATTATGTAAGGGCAAAGAATATTTAACCATACAGCACTACTAAGGTGTTGTCAGGTTGCTGTGGAATTCTAAGGGAACTGCTCAGATGTAAATGCAAATCCAGTCAGGAGATGAGTTGATGTCCTTGCTTGGAAACCTCTTCTGTACTTCGTAACCATGATACTGATTTAAAACAGAGACTGTGTAATTGAAACAGAAATGTTTTTTATAGGATAAAAGTTGCGATAAGTTCTATTAAAGAGTGAGAAAATATTATAGTGCAAAAGGTCTGATTCAAACCTACTGTGGTTCACAGACAATTTTTGAAGTCAGGAAGTTATGAAGCAAGGCAAAATGATTAAAATATGCTCAGCTCTGCTAAGCTAGTGCATTATAAGTTATGATGGGAGAAATTACACAAAGCACAGAGGGTCTTCCCTGTCTTCCCCAGCTCCTGGGTGGCTCTCTCTCTAAATTGTCCTTTAACAGCTGGAAGACAAGGGCAGAGGTAGGGCTATAAATAAAGCTAACCAGGTCATGGCAGTGTTTTATTGGGCATTGTAAGCAAATTCCATTCTGACATCCTGAGCCACTTGGAGAGAATTGATGACTATTAGAGGCAAGGTTGCTGGTTGAAATGTTTCCTGACTGTAGGCATTAAAGTTATCTATTATTTACAGGAATGACTTACCACTCTTCTCTTCCAAAACAGAACTTAAACAAAAACCAATGTGCCTTGTCCAGTGCCCTACTGAGGAAGGTTTGAAGAGGATGCTCTCATTACTGAGCTATGGGGTGTGTTCCTTTCAGGGCTTTTTTCTGAACTGTAAACTCATTTCATCAGTTTTAACAGGAGGAACAAAGAGTTCTTTCCAGCACCACACCTAGTTTTAAAATCCGTAAGGGAAAAAGGAAGTCAAAAGTAGAAAAGCTTGGACTGCGTTGATTAAATCATGGAGTGAACTAAGAATTTTCTGATACATTTGTAAACTAACTATTTAACTTGTTGCAGATGAAGGAGCATTGGTCCGAGCAGCCAGGCATCTTCGTTTCGTATTCACTGGAAGGACACCTGACTCAGTAATCATAGAGTCTGTAAGTACATCAGAGTAACACTATAATTTACTGTATAATCTGTGAATAACTGCATCCTGATACATATGTATTGATATGTTGCTTGGCTGATTTTGGTTCCTTTGCTTGAGTTGTTTTGGATTAATTCTCACCTTTTTTTTAATACTGAGTTTGTGGGTTTTTTTTATTCTTCAGTTGGGACAGGAAGAGAGATATGAACTGCTAAATGTCCTGGAATTTACAAGGTAAATAGCATGTTTTGCACTTAGTGACTCTTTGTGAAAATGCTTTATGAACTTCTCACATGGATAAAAATGTTTGCATTTTTTGTATTTTTACAGGCAAAGTATGCAGGTTGTGTAGCTTTTATCTCTGTAATGTGACTAATATTTTATCTCTGTAATGTGACTAATATTTTTCACTTCTGCTTTTGCTCAAAGATTAAAAAAAATCTTTGATCTCAGAACTTGAAACATTTCTGTGAAAAGACCATATAGGAAAGTACTCTAACTTCTAAGTGTATTTCTGAAAGCCCTGGTGCCATATGATTTATTAAAAATAAGTGTATTTGTCTTGACTGGACGTTAAATTTTGCATTTGACCTTAAATACGCTTGTGTAATTATGACTTGTTTAAGTGCTCTACACTGAAACTCATTATCTTCTGAGCAGCAACACTACAGTGTTGACTAGTTAGTTTTCTTGGAAAATGAGTTTATCACAAACTTTGCTTTCAGTAAAAATTTTATGTTAAATCTGTTGGAGTTATAAAGATACTTATAAGAAATAGGGATGAAGTTTCACTTCTTATGTAAAGCTGCTTAAATTGTATCCATGTATGCCATCTGTGTTCTGTGTTTGTGTGCACCCTTTGCTTACTTTGGCACAGGATAGGGAAGGGATTCACATGTAGAGGAAGCTCCTTTTTTTCTGATAATGATTACTTATAATTGTGACTGTGGAAAGTGATTGTTCTTTTCCTTCCTGTCCTGTTATGTTTCCTGTGAGCTTAGCTAAAGAAGCAAAAATATCAAAAAATAAAACAATGCAAGGCAATATTGGAGAGACAGGCAGAAGATGTATAGGTTGGGTGAAATCAGAGAAGTATTGCCTAGTAATACTAGTAATAGTAATAATATTCTGAAGCATAATTAAAGATCACCATAGTGTGGAAAAAAAAAAGGCAACAGAAAGTAATTTTTATAGCTTTGAATGTCTTTTAATGTGCTTGCAATTAATATTGGGATTAAATATGGTAGAGGACATACTTGAATTTTTTTTAAATTTACACCATGGTTTCATTTTTTGCAGGCATTGCTTGCACTTTCTTTTCTGGAAAGTTAGCAAGTATGTTGAGCAAAGTGACTTGTTGTTGACTGCACATCCGTGAAGGTTCATACTGCGTTCCTGGAGTAGCAGAGAAAGTTTCCTACTTTGTTTCTCATTGTGATTTCATAGTTGATTTTTTTTTAAACTTCTATATCAGTTTAAAATTTTAATTTAAACAGTGATACTTTATGAAGACAGGAGAGTTGTTTTTAAATCTTAACCTTTGTAGGATTAGATTTTTGATGTGTACCAATCATACAACCTTATTAAGTATTCAGTGTTTATAGCTAGTTTTGTTATTATTCTGTAATATTTGTCTTTTCTTGGAACTGACTTGTTGGAAGCACTAGAGGTCACCCGTGTTCCACAGGAGAGATTTTGGCTCTAAAACAACACCACATTTGTATGGGTAGGAGCATGTACCTTCAGAGATGTAATCTGTACTAAATAAACTGTTAAGAGTTTGCAGGTGTTCCAAGTCTTTCCCCCAAAAAAATCAAATTAATTCCTTGTTGCTTTCCAGTGCAAGCCAGATTAAAACTCTATACAAGTAGAGTACAACAGTGTCAACATTTGATAGGATACTGTTTTGGAGATGCACATTACAGAAAAAAAAAATGTAGGAATGCCCAGTAGAGCTGTCATTTATGGTATTTTCTCTTTTACAGTGATTAAAGTTGTGCCTGTGAAAAGAGAAGTAGACTTATACAACATGCTAATTACACTTTGTTCATAGCAAGGACGTAGCTGTCAGTCTTAACTGACAGGTGAGCATACTGGAAGTATTATACTGGTAATCCTTAACCAGTACTCAGTTATTTCTAAAATGCAGTGCTAATCTCCATGGAGCAAATAGTGTCTTAATAACTTGTGCTGAGTTCGGGTTGGCTCCAGCAGTTAAGTCTGCTCATACGTCACAACTGCTGTGGTACCTTAAGTTCTAGGAAGTGAAGAGTGGTTCAGATCCTCTGCTTCCCATACTGTTAGGGAAGGAATTGTGCAGTGCTGTGCCTGTTCTTTTATTCTGTCACCTGGAACTGTAAAAAACAGAAAAACTGCAGCTGTCTCTTGGCAGCCAAAACCAGCTCCTAAGGTATGTACCTGCAGGTCAGGGGAAAGCAAGGCACTATGTCAAAGATCCAGAAACACAGCACATCTTACATTTGGTGTCATCCCTGTGCCAACTATGAGCACTGTCTTTTCACTTGGGCCAGTGTGAAAATGAATTAGATTTTAAATGTGTGATTCCTTATGTCATTAAGGATAAGCAGTGGATACCATCAGTGCACAAATTGCACATCAGTCCTTGCATCAGCATGTCATTACTAGCAGTGTTACTGAATGAGGTTTTGATCTGTATCTTCTTGTTTTCTTGGAGGACTGAATTGCATTTTTAGCAGCAGAATTAATTTCACTGGGAAGTACTGAGTATATAGATAGTAAAAATATCTCAATATCTGGAGTATGTACTATTGGTTTAATGACTGATTTTCATCTGTATCCCTGGGGCATACCTCCATAGCCTAGCAGAAACTGTCTGTGATAGTTACAGTTTAAAGCTTCTTGTCCAAATTTCTGTATTTTTGATTTAGAATGCCAGTGTATTTACCTGAAATACATATCTTGACTAGTCTCTCCTGTCTGATCAGTTTTATGAATAATCCACATTCCCTTGGCTGTTGTAGTGGGCAGATGGAAGGCCTCCGAGAGCATTTTAGACCTCACCTCCTCTCTATCATTCAAAGAGGTCCAGAATACACTGATCCTGTTTTCTGACTAAAGACTGACACTTACTAAAAGTTTATAAAAGAATGATTGGCTGACAGAGCAGGTAGCAAAACCTCTGTAGCAGTGTTTGGTTTCTGTGGTTGTTTCATCTTAAACCAAGTCAGATTTTAGAGTTATTCTGTTGCTACCGTAAAGAGCTACTTCATAAAGTGGCAAACCTTGTGACTGAGGGAAGTATTTCTGTCCCATCAAGATGCTTCTGTACATTTGTAATCCCGTGGCAGCTCCATGGGAATTGCCAGCCGTTCTTCTTCCTTGTCATAACCGAAAGGGTTACTCAGCTGGAAGGTATACAGAGATCACCACAGTGGGTTTGCAGGATTTGATAGCACACAAGGACACTGGAGCTTTATTTTCTACTTCTTTTTTAATTACAAATTACTAAGAATTACTGTTAGTAAAGGAATGTATACACATACCCCCCGAGATTTGTTTGCACAGGGGTGGTTCTTATAGAGGCTCCCTATTGGGTACAAGTAAGTCATTTGTGTGGGGCACAGACTTAAGGGGGTGCAGGACACCACCACATGCATCCATCAATAGATGCTGCTAATTTCTGTTTTTCACCTGGAACAGCCAATAGATGATGGTGTACTCTTTTCTCCCAGACCAATTTTTAATTTTCTAGATTGTTGTAAATTCCTACTTTCTCATAATATTTTCTCCCTTTTCCAGACAATAAGTTGTAGTTACAATTTCTTGGGTTTTGCATATTGATGGTATCTCAGGATGTCTGCAGTTTCTCGGCTGGCAGGTGTTTTCTCTGTCACTATTTCAGCAGGCATCTTCTGTTCAGTATTTTCCCCCCTTATAACCAGGTCACCTTTATGGCTGCTCACGTCACTTCTGTGGTGCAGAAGCAAAGTAAGACAGTGGTCTTACACTGACAGTTATTTGTAGTAGTGCAATTTTGTGGTTTACTGTAGTTCACCAGGAAATGGAAATAAAACTGTCACTGCAGTGAAAAGACTCATAAAAAGTTAGAAGTCCTTGACAGTAACTCTTAGTCATTGGCTTTATTGCAGTTTTACTAAGAAAGTGTATGTCAGTCAAGATTCAATATCTGTCTTCATAACTTAAGTTTCAGAATGCTACAGGAAAACATTGGTTATTCTCTGATACATCTACAGTAGAAGAATAGGCAGCTATATGCAGGATTCAAGATTGCGGTCTTGTATTGCAACACAAGTACAAATTTGCTGAGTTTTTACCTGTCAAGGGCAAGTGTATCAAATTATTTACAAACCCTAAATCCGAGACTTGCTTTTATTTTAGGCAACTTAACTGCAGTTTAGATGATCTTAATGTTTCCACTATTGTCTAAATAGATCCATAGCTGGAGAGTGTCTAAAGGCTTTTGGAATTGTGCTTATCTGAGGGTTTTTTGGATTAGAGGTGAAATGGAAAAGGAGTTGCAGCAGTTAATGGCTTTTTACACTCATTTGTGAAATATTCAAGTAACAAGGTAATTTTAATATTGCTGTTCAGATATTTTTACTTGAAGCAAAGTGCATGCGCAGGTGGAATAGGAAAACATTTTCCTGAAGATACTCTTCAGTCAGTTACTTCACCATTAATTATAAAATTCTTTCCTCCACCTGTGTCCATACATTCCCTTTACAGGATGTTTTCCATGGCAGTCTGAACTCCAGGAACCTTTCATACAATAATGCTCTTTGATGATGTATAAATGGGATGAAGTTCCAACAGGAACCAAAATTGTAAAAGGACCATTTATTTCCATCTCAGTCATATATTTTACTGTGAACTGTTTTGTGAGAAATGTTTTGTTCCTGGAATAGTTTCTGTAGAGTTATTTATAAAGTTGAAGTTTAAAAGAAATACATATTTTGACCGGACATGGTCTTGAATCTAAGGAATGCTTGTTGGTGAACCTCAAAGGGAAGACAGAAAGCAGACATCGACAGTCTTCTCCATGCTTTCCTCCAACTTCAACCTCAGTTATAAGGACAAAAAGAAAAAAGTACTTCAATCTAACAACTGAAAGCCAGAAAGTAGTTAAAATCAGTCAAGTCCCTTTCCATTTCTTAGCATACTGAAAACTTTGCATGTTAAATGAAACTCTGGGATGACAGTAGTAGGATTGCAACACAGTACACCGTATGAGACAGGCTGGCTGAGAAGGAGGTAAAAATGGAAACAGTCCATGATGCACTACCTTTTTATGATATTGGTCACAAATGCTTTAAAAGGCTTTTCTGTGGTCAGTAAACAGTGCTCAGACAAAGGTAAAAAATCTCAAATTTTTTTTTGTGGAAAAAAGGCCTGCAGTAGTATTGCCCAGAAAAGTAGCATTCACTTTAATTATTAGACACCTGAGAACATAGTTCAGAATAGATAGCCCTGACTTCTTATCCCTTTTCTAATATGTTGATATTATTAGGTAAAATATTGGTAAATGTTTATATTTACAAATCACCTTATATAGAGCATTTATTTCTCTTTCAGCTCTAGGAAGAGAATGTCTGTGATAGTCCGCACACCATCAGGAAAGTTAAGACTCTACTGCAAAGGAGCTGTGAGTTTTAATCTGTTTTTGCTGTAACAAAGAATATGTGCTACCAATACAAATACAAAAGCAAAACTTTGTTATAATTGCAGTCAAAACATTGAAAATGCAGGGGAAGGAGTGTTGATGCCTCTTTCAGTTTATATCATTTTACTGTGTAGCTGTTTAATGTGATGAGCTAGTTAATGACTTTTTTTACTAACTGCCTATGAAGTCAGTATGACAGACCTGTTCATCCTGTTCTTTGTACTGGACTAATACCTTTATGCTTCCTATTAATTGCTTCCTTCTGTACTGCCAAGAAAATGGATTGAATGTGTAGATGAATGTATTAGTTACTTGCTGGAGTAGCTGAGCATGGATCACTAGGCAGAAATAGTAATCTAGCGTAACTGACTAGATGGAAATTTTAACCTACTATTGACATTATGCCAGAAGTAAATTCTTTCAAAAACAAGACCTATGGAAAGGTATCCTAATCATAATGTATATAGAAATGGCAGAGTCACTCATTGGTTCTGTATTTTAAGTCAAGTTTGAGGGGGAGGGAGGTGAAATCCAATTCCTGCATGGTTTAAGAAAAGGGAGTTTATTGAACAAAAATGTCCGTTCTGTATCATCTCAAGTGAAGAGAAGAACCTGTTGTTAATGTTCTGTATATAAAACTGGCTACAAAAAAATGAGAGTGGCAGTTACGAAGCACTAATTTTACTTTGTGGGTTTAATATTAAAAGAAGAAGATAGCATTTTGGCACTTAGCAAAATCGTGGGAAATAACAGCAAAAAGTGTGGAAGAAAATCTGCATTGTAGCAGAATTTGTAAATTTAGAAAATCTTAGGATTGGAATGTCCTCTTTTAACTTCTGAAATAAAATTACGTCTATTAAGTTTTAATGCTTAAATAATACAGTGCTGTATATTTTTCTGCCATTTTCGTACGATTTGTTTTGTCTACACGAAAAAACCCAACGTTTTTTCTATTAGATGGTTCTGTGTTAACTTTTGTTTTATAGGATACTGTAATTTATGACCGTCTTGCTGAAACTTCAAAATACAAAGAAATCACCTTAAAGCATCTAGAGCAGTTTGCTACAGAAGGTGGGTTATATTATTTAATATAAAAACAAATACAAAATTCAGTTACTGCTCAACTTTTCAGTTTTTCAATTTTACATTGCTCTAGTGTTTTACTCATGTTGAGTTTGAAAATTATGTTTTGGTAATGCCTCCTTAAAAAAGGTCTTCTTCCTGAAAAGTTTCAGTAATAACTTCATGCTTTAAAAAAACCCAGAAAACAACCCAACACACCCACAGAGTACACAGTGGAGTCTTTTAACCAAAATATATTTTTCCAGAGAGCAAACTCATTGTGCATTGTTTCTGTGAAGATCCTATTTCCCATGGTCGCTTTCATGTCCCATACAGAGTGAATGCTGTAGTGACGGCACACAGGAAGAAATAGCTAAAGTGAAGATGCTTGGAAATGAATTTTTTAAGGTAGCTTTATGCTGCTTTGTTTCTGTCACCAGTCTCAATAAGGGAATTGCCAGCATTCCATAAGGGTGTGCTTTGGTATCTCTGCTGTTTTAATTATCAATTCAACAAAACAGTTGCCAAAGGTGGGGAGCCCCACCTTTGAGTGAAGTAGAAATAGTAAGTAAAATTTAAATCACTATGCAATTAAGGTGATTGATACAGACAGCCAGTTAGTTAATTACAGTGGATTCTGCAGTACAGATGTGAGCAGAAAAGCAGACTATAGAAAGGTTTCTGCATTCATATAAATTATTCTAGCACAGTTCCTAGATCATCCATGCCATCCCCTTTACAGGTATCTTAGTGAAGGATTATAGTGTTGTCATCATGGCTAGGCTTCGCGAACGAAGATTTGAGAGGGCTCTACCCATGCTTGCTACAATCGTGCTGATGGCTAAAAAGGCCAATGCAAGATAGACAAGTCCGGTTGCAGAAGGCACAGCAGAAAGACTCCCCAGGTGATATCAACGAGACGCGATTCTTTCTGCGTTGTCATTTCTCCTCGAGAGTGATCCTGCGTGTGTTCTCAAAAGCAGCAGCAGCGTTATAGATGGTGTGTCTCCAGGCCTCCCGATTGGAGGCCAGGGTAGACCAACGGTGGTGATCAATATGGCCAAGGCTGAGGGATTGTTTCAGGCAGTCCTTGTATCGCCTCTTCAAGGCTCTTCTCTTGCGGCAGCCAGTGGCGAGTTCTTCGAGCACGATCTTAGGGAGGCGATGGTCCTGCATCCTGGAGACGTGCCCTGCCCAACGCAGCTGAGTTCTCGGCAGCATGGCCTCAATGCTCATGACTGCTGCCTGTTCAAGGACAGTTGTGTTGGTCACATAGTCAGTCCAGTGGATGTTTAGGATTGTATGGAGGCAGCGCTGATGGAAGCGTTCTAAGAGACGCAAGTGTGTTGTACTGTGCAGAATAATAGTTGTTGAGGTTTCGACTCTGGTCAGATTTTAAATACTTACTGAAAACTGTTTTTCCCCCTTCCCCTTCCTCTGCTCTTCTCAGAGGAGAGGAAAAAAAGTTAAGAGAATTCCTGAGTAGAGATAAGAATTGGAAGACTCACTTACTTTTTATAGGTAAACAGACTAAAAGTGAATAGAACTTAAATTTATTGCTAACAAACTTAAACTAAAAGCTAAATTTATGGCTAGCAAAATAAGAACTAAAGAGTAAAAGAATAAAACATCTTAAAACACAACACCTTCCATCCACTCCCCTCTTCCCTCTGCCGTGCAGGGAGATGAGAAAAGGGGGAAAGGCACAGTCAGAGGCTGCTTCTGCTGCTGTTCAAATCCGTATCTTAGAGAGGAGCTCTTTCCAATTCACTGTCCTGGGGGGTCACTTTTCCATCAGGCACAGAGGTCTCTCTCTCTCTGCATTCTGATGGTATCCATGGGCTGCAAGGGGACAACTTGCTTCACCGTGGTCATTCACCACAGTTACAGGGGGTAATGGCTTTGAGTCCTTCCCCTATTTCCTGTGGGGTCTCTCCCCATGGGAGACAGTCCTTGATAGACCTCTCTGTGGGGGGTCCATCCCTCAGGCCAGAGTTCTTCCATAATCTGCTGTCCCTTAGGTCACAAATGAGATGCATTAGCATAGATCCCCTACAGGGTCACAAGTCCTACCCAGGACAACTTTCTCCAGTGTAGGTTTCTCTCTACGTGGGCCACAGGTCTCCAGTAAGACTCAGTTTCATCTTAGGCCTCCCACAGAGTCTCAGCTTCCTCATGCATCCACCTATTCCAGTGTGGGCTCCTCCATGAGCTGCAGAGAGGGTTCTCCTCATCCCAATAATCTTCCATAAGCGGCAGGGGTCTCGGCTTTCAGTCTTTCCCCTGCTGGAGGGGAAGAGGGAGGCCTCTCTGGATCTTCTTCTCCCCGCTCCTGCTACACTGACCTTGGAGTCTACACTGCTATCTCATGTTCTCCTCTGCTCTCCTCTCTAGCTGGAATTTCTTCTGTGCAACAAACCTTCTCTTCCTTTGTTCTTGAATGTGTTATCACAGAAGCGAATATCATTGGCTAGTAGTAGGAAGTCCATCCAGGAGCTGGCTATCATTGGCTTTTTCATAGAATAGCAAAAGCTTCTAGTAGCTTCTAATTGAAATCATCTCTATGGCTGCTATTACCAAAAATTCAGCCACTTGAACTCATGACAATAGTGTTTTAATTTATCAATGAATTGGTAGCGAGTAACTGCAAGCAGAATTATAATAATTATGGAAATCTGAATTGCAGTGGTTTTACCTCTTCATTTGTTTAGTACACTGTTACTAGAACATTAAAATTATCCTGAATGTGTCTTAACAAATAAGCTTACACTTAAAAACAAACTTTATCAAAATACTTTTCTTCTAAAATACAGTCCTTATGTTTGTTAAGTGATGCCTAGCCAAATATTCTTATATCATCAAAGATCATTTTTCTGCTGTACATATGGCTCCGGTGGTTTTATCTTTTGCTTTATAGTGGAACCTAGAGGTTTGATTAGTGTAGTTAGCAGCTTCAGTCTCTTAGTTCTATCAGTGACAGCAGAAGCAAGTCATGAATCTGTTTCTTTTGTTAGTTTTTCATATCAAGATCTCTGCAGGAAACATTGGTTAGTCTTACACAATCTTAAAGTAGTAAAGTCATAATATACTGTGCAGTAACATTGAAAGCAGAACTAAAACCAAACAAATTTGACTCATGGTGCAACCCAAAGCCTCAGATACACACTGGGGTTTTATAAAGGCTTAACCAGAATTGGTCAGGGAAAAGTTACTTCAGTGTGAAGTTAGTTTGGGTCAAAAGGCTATATATTTGGTTATAGAAAAAATAAAATTAGATCAATATATGCTGTCCTGTGTGAACTGATGCAAAAATTTCAATCCAGTTCTTATTTAGTGTTCCCATTAAGTCAGTGGTGCAACTCCATAGCAGTCAGGTTGGACCAAATGAATCAACATAGAAAGTGAAAAATTCCACCCACCTTTAGAACCACTCTACATACATATTGGTGTTAAGTTTGTTCAGAAAGAGTGAATTGCTAACCTTTCAAAAGCATAAAATTCACTCTTTAAAAAAAAAAAAAAGTACACGTCTCTGAAATCAGTTAAAAAATTGGTATTTATTTTTGCATCAGATTTAAATTGCAGCCAGTGATGTTGCAAAGTTTCTTTTGAGTATCCTTTCATGTGGCAGTACAGTATGTCCTTGGCATTTGCTACATGCTCTTGGTGTGTTGTTCAAAAATGAAGTGGTTAGCATGGCTGGCATTTATAAGTAAGCATTTATTAAGCTTGGGTGTTAATGCCTGCTTGGATAAATAGAAAAAGTGTGCAATTTTCCTGTTGTTCTGGTGCATTAAGAAGCAGACTTAATGACATTTTGTTTTCTACTTTTCTTTTGGAAGATTCTTTTAAATCATAATGAAAAGAATCTTTTTAAAAATAGAAAAAATAATCAGGCTCTGATTTAAAAAGAGACATTTTTCAATATCTTGGAAAAAATTGCTTGCTGACATTCCATACACTTGGATTTCTTTTCTTCATTTTATCGTCTGCAGAAAATATGTTGAAAGAATTTGGGAAATAGTATGCCTGTTAGTCAGACATAGATTCCTTTCCTCCCCTTCACCTATATTCATTGCTTTGGACCTTGTTACCCTATCCTTAATACATGGAGTAAAAAGAATCAGTTGAGTTGTCAGCCTTAAGTTTACTCTCTCAAGTCTGAATGGGGAGACATTGTCTTCCTCATGCTGTTTAGTTGTCAAGGTACTAGGATTACACATGATTTTCATCCTGAAAATACTAAATTATTCTTACATCTAAGGCACATGTATTATTTCATGCCCAACCTCTTGATCATTTCAAAATTGCTACTGGTGCTGAGCTGTACCCAGTAGAAATCTGTGAACAAATAAAGATTGCATTTAGCCTGGTTATGGTGTTGTTTCTCTCCTAGAGAAGAGTGGTCAAAGTACTAAAGGGTGACTACATTAGTCCTGCCTGCCCCCCTTCTAAATCTAGTGTCTTGCAAGCTGTGGCTTTATAAGAAATTATTTGCCTAGAGCAATGGTCTTTTCAGTATATAAAAAAGTATGCCAATGTCATGCCCTAGAAATCTGACAATATGTGAAAATAAACTGTTAAAACATTCACACCTAGCTATTTCAACTGAATGTAAAGCAGAGTTGTCAAAAAATAGATATTCCTTAAAATCAAAGAGTTGCACATTCTTGCTGTAATGCTTAATTCAGACTTCTGCTGAAGGAAAAAATCTTTTAGTAGTAATCAATTTAAAGATTGTAAAGTAAAATCTCCAAATGGTGCCTGTACACAAAGATTTTATTTTAAGAATTTGGAAAGCTGAACGAATCTGTAAGATGGGAAAATAAATGAGGGGATTCAAAGTTGGCTTCTAGATGATAAATTTCAGACTTCAGTTGAGAATTTCCTAAGGATATCAAGGAGGGGTGAAAAGTGTAGTTGTTACATATTTTATATATTTTTTATATATATATTTTAACGTTACTGCTTTCCAGCATAGCAGCATTTGAGTTTATAAAATTTTTGCTCAGAAATGTAGTTCAATCTTATAATTTTAATGTTCCTACCTAAAAATCTAATGTACACACTTATTCATCAAGTATTCCTTCATGTTTTGTTTACATTTTTAACTAAGTCTAATCTTATGTAAAATTTTTATGTTTTTTTTTTCTCCTGAAATGCATCTACCTCTATTACATTCAACTACTTTGAAATTGTTCCTCTTTTGAATAAATTTCTATTTATAGCACCTTTTTACTTTATATATATTTAACAAGTTCTTTAAGATGTGCAGCAGTAAGTTGAAAATCAGGCATAAGCATACATAAAACACAACGTAAATTCAGCTTTTAGTAGTTACTCATTGCAGGCATATCAAGGAAGGGATTAACAAATACTGAATCGTGTTTATTATCTGCTTTCTCTTTAGGCTTAAGAACTCTGTGTTTTGCTGTGGCTGAGATTTCAGAAAGTGATTATCAAGAGTGGCTGGATGTTTACCACCGTGCTTCTACAGCTATACAAAACAGAACACTCAAACTTGAGGAGAGCTATGAACTAATTGAAAAAGTATGTGTAGCTTGGATAGCATTCTGGGGTTTGGTTTATTTGGGGGGGTAGATGGAGGGTGGGCAGAGGGATGAGCAGAAGAGTGGGTTTTTAATTATTGTCCTTAGTTTCTATACCATGAAAAGGGAATAGTTTTTGAGGAATACTGCTTAACGAGAAAAAAATATCCAGCAATATACTGACAGTTGTGTCGTGTAGTCCTTGAAGTTTAGATAATCAAAATTAAGGAAATAGTAATTTGACGAAGTTTATTATGCAAGTAGCTATCTTGCTAGAAAGTGTTGATTTTGAGTTGAACTACTCAAAGGCTTTTTTTCAGGGTTGCTCTATTATGTAAAAAAGTGTAATAACAGACAAACAACATTTGTTTAATTATGTAATGATCTTGGAACCATGGATTAGTCAAGATTGGAAGGGACTTCTGGAGGTCATCTAGGCACAAATCCCTGCTCAAAGCAGGTCTAGTTCTTCTTGCCCAACATTTTGATGAAGTTTGAGTATCTACAAGGCGGGAGTTTTCCCAGCTGCAGCAGGTAACTTTTTTGATGCTCAACTAGTCTTTTTCCCTTTTTCTGAGTTAAAATTTTTATTGCTGCAGAACTTGACTGTTGCCTCTTGCTCTTTCGCTGTGCAGCATGCATCTTGTAGGAAGATGGTTGCTCTGTGAGCCCTCTTCAGTTATCACAAGGCAGCCATGGAATCCCTCCTTTAGCTGTATTTTTTCCCCATGTTAAACTCATCTTGCTTCTTCAAGCACTCTTAATACAGTGTGCTCTGGGCCCTAAACTATTTTTGTGTCCCTCTGTTGAACTTGCTCCACTTTATCAACCTGTCTTGTACTGAAGACCCACAAAGAGAGGTGATACTCAGATACAGCATCACAAGCACAGAGCCTTGAGTTCCACTTGAGTTTCTGGCAATGATGCTGCTGCTGGAGTAGCCAAGGATGTGGTTGAGGCTTCGGTGCCTCAAAAAAAAAGGTTCCCATGATTCTTAAATTTATAAGGAAAAGGAGTGCATGGGAGCAATAGTTTTGATACTTAAATCTGGGGGGGGGGGGGGTATTTTTACTTTTTTCCTTGGAAACTGTAAGAGAGATTACATCAGTGAAACTACTTAAAATTCAGAGCTTCAAGAACCTACAGTGTTTAATTCATGAAAAAAGAGTGAGAGTATATAGCTTCAGTCACTTGTGGGACTTCAGTTTAAATAGATGAGCAATTTATCTAGACATGATAAGACAGTCTTAAAACTATATAATGTTTTAATGCCATGACAACCCTGCTACCACTACAAATTCTTGTATTAGCTGCACAAGTACTTTGTCAGTATGTAGTATGTAGGCCATGCTGCAACCAGGATTGCATGCTATTAGGTTTATAATGGTGTCATTAACATTTAGTTAGTTTTAGAGTTATAGAAATATGAAATATAAAAATAGCTGTATTCACAAAAACTGTATGGATTTGTGAATAATTGGTTTGAGGGTCATGCTGTGCAGTTTGTCAAGCCACATAGATGTCAGAGTTAAAGAACTTCAAGTTCATTCCTATGATCTTTGATTGTTGATAGCAAATCTGATTAATGAGTTTAGAGACCATGAATCTTGTCATAAATATGGGAAGTTAAATAAAATAAAAGGATGATTAAAAGTGAATTTAAACCAAAAAAACCTGCATGTACAAAATATTTTATGTTCACAGAATCTTCAGCTTCTTGGAGCAACAGCAATTGAAGATAAACTACAAGACAAAGTGCCTGAAACCATAGAGACACTTATGAAAGCAGACATAAAAATTTGGATACTTACTGGGGACAAACAAGAGACTGCCATTAACATCGGTATTATATTTGCATTTATTTGATGGCTTTGTTACAGGTTTAGAAATAATAGAAATTGATGGAGTAAAATTTCTTTAAGAATGGAAAGTTATCTTTCAAAAATAATATTATATGTAATTCCAGAATTTTAGTATTAACTTATTTTTCAGTCACTGGTGGGGAGAGAGTGGGGAATGGTGGATTCTAGCCCTGTTAAAATAACAAGAGCAAGAAAAGGTCATACTAGAGAGGAGGCAAAAAAATAGACCTTTGTACTTTTTATAGCTTATACATTGTTTGGCTTTTGACAGTGAGAGGGAGTAATATTAAGAAAATATAAGTATTCTTAGTTTCCCTTCTCTATTTTTACTTCTTTCCAAGAAAGCTAGTAGTGACCATAATCTTAACTAAAGCAAAACAACATAGATGGTACATTAAAGTACTATAAGTTTTACCATTAATCAAAGGTTTTCTTTATTCTTTCTTTTTATTGTGAAGGAGGAGGAAAAAAAGACTAATTTCAACAATGGTGAAGCTGTATTTTTAGATAGTAATTCATAAAAGTTGCTCTTAAGATTTAATATTATTTGCATGTGACTAAATTAGCACTTTTGGAGTAGACTAGACACATGCTTAAAATAAGGCCTTACTTTAGTCATATGGATCCTTCTTATTTCTGGTATTTCAAATCTTAAAGAACTTTCTGTATGCACATGATTTTCTTTACAATTCATTTCAGCTGGGGAAATCTTATATTTAATTTTGTGTGTAGTTCTCTTAGAGGAAAAATGCCTTCTTATATTGTAATGGATTTTGTGGAAAAGATTTTTGAAAACCAAATCTTTTTTAACAGGTCACTCCTGTAAACTTTTGAGAAAGAACATGGGACTAATTGTTATAAACGAAGGCTCTCTTGATGTAAGTAAAATCTGCAAAGTTCTCAGTTAATGAAATGTTACTTTACTGCTTAAAATATCCCAACATCATGGTGGAGGTTGCCTAAAAAATAAATTGGAGCATCTATTTCTCTGGACCAACATAGAAAATTCTGCCAAAACTATAGTTTGGAGGTTGTTGTTTATGTTTGTTTTGGGAGGTTGCTTTTTTGTTCTTTTTTATAGTCTTCGTGCTTGGAAGACTGTATGGTCTTTGTGACAAAATGTTACTGAATAACTGGAAACGGTGTAGCTACTGCACAAATGAACTTTAGAAAGATGGGCAGACAAATTCCAGGTAATAGATTTTATCCATGCAGGCACAAAGCCAGGAGCTTCACATGCTTCTACTAGCACCTACCAATACCCAACAAATTATTCTAAGTTCCTTTCTAATGCTGTTTCTTACAGAATACTTGGCATCTGGCAGAAATTGTTACTGTGTGATTAAACAGATGTTGGAAGTACAAAGGTTAAAACTGCCAACTTCCACTTGTGCACTTCTGTACAGTGCTTTGTAGAGAAGATATTATTTAGATAAAGTTGGAATTCAGTATTAGTTGAAAAATCCCATGAGGGGAAAGAACTTAAATCCTTTCACCGCCCTGTAAGGGAGACTTAAATGAACTTAGAAGTGGAAGAATTTCCTCATTGAGAAAACTTATTGTCCAGAAGGCTTCAGGAGGAAATCCTAAAATGAGATTTGTTACTTTATATTGTGGTCATGTTGCTCAAGATAAGACTTAAGGAGAGAAAGTAAGTTTGAGAATCAGCAGCAATGCCTTAACTGAAGAATGCCATAGTAGCATGTAAGAGTAGACTACAACGGAATTAAAATACTTATTATTTTTTTAAATAAGTATTTCATTGAATTTTTTTGCCCATTTAGAATAGTACATTTCCAACATTAGTTAGTATGGATTTAATCAAGATAGCTGTATTTCAAATAGAGATTGTCTGAAGGAACATATTTTTGCTGATAACATTTAAAATTAAATCCCAAACACTGGACAGACAGAAGCTGTTGATTAATGTCTGTTGATACAGTAAGCAACTTTTGGTCCAAGTAGCCTGTGAAATTAATGTAGAGACTCAAGTTTTGTTTTCTTAGTTTAGTTCATTGGATAGCTTTTGAAAGATTGCAGTCATTGTTTATTGAAAAGACAGGGAAGGTTTTTGATAAAGTCCTTTACTTTGCTTTTGATTTTTTTCACTGTCCAGCAAATCTCTGAGTAAAAATTAGCCAATACACTTGAGACCTTCTGTCCTGTATTAAGTTATTTACACAGTACTGCATTTCAGAACTGCTGCAAGACTTCATAGATTTGAAGTACATAGATTTGAAGAATAACTGCTTTTTATGCTTCTTCATATGTAGTGAGATAAAGTGAAGTACTTTCATTTAACTACTAAAAGGAGTCCAATTAAAACTTATTAAACAGGCTTTACACTTTAACCACTTCTACTGTGATGATTCAAAAGTTCAATAAGTATCTATTAAAATATATATTTTTAAAATAAATTTATATGAATATAGTTTAAGAATAAAAGATAGTAGCTGATAACTGCACCATAGTCCTTAATTCAGACTGGAGTATCTAGATTGTATAGATGTAGAGAGACTGTTTCCCTACATGCCCGAAGTGCATTCAAAGCACATGGGAGTGCAAATATCTTATGGCAGCTGAATTTGTATATGCAAACCTGTCACTTGCATATCTGTTTTAATATGTGGTAACATACATCATGTTTTTTTTCAGCAGCAGGTAAATGTAGTTTGAGGGCAAGGGGCAGTTCAAAAAATAATAATAAACTAGCTCTATGCAAATATTTTAACAAGAGACTCTATTTATAAAGTCTGCATCATTTGATGGTATGCATTTCAGTGTTAGATCCACGTATGTCTCGTGTCCTATCCTTTGCTTACTGCTGTGATGGGAATCACATGTCAGTCTCTATTTCTAATGTGACTGGCTGTGTGAAAAATTACCTTGGAAGTTCTGATGGAGAAGTGGATTGGGTCTCAGGAAATGGAGAGAGGGATGGACTGCTGTGATTGCAGAATGTTGAGTCAGTGCAGCTGCAAGGGTGGATGCAATTCCTCTTTTCTTTATGCATATCAGCAACAGTTGGCAAGAGGCTGTAATACTTAGTTGGAATGTTGTCTATTAAGGAATTCACATAGAATGAAACAAACTTTTGAGCAGCATAGGTCCACCTCTTGTGGGAGGTGGGGACTGTGCACCCATAAGGACTGCTGGACAACCCAGTTCCCTCAGCACAGGAGGAACTGAGCAGCCATGAAACCTTGAAGAAAATAATCCCAGTGTAGTGGAACCTGTATATTTAGGGTCTTGGAGAAGACGCTCCGTGGCAGTCCTCTTCCCCTTGGCTCTGTAAAGTATAACCTCTTTGCTATATGAAAATGTTGATAGTTTCATAGGAGTTAGGAAGGTTGGCTTTTCTTGATTTGCATACTCTTCTGAAAAACAGTGAAACACCATACTGAGAACAGTGGCAGTAAGTGGATGCTTCTTGTTGTTGTTATTAAAATAATAGTACGTGTCCCTTGCATATCATTGGCTTCTCCTAAAAAGTAGCTACCTCAGCTCTAATCCCTTTATGGACAGGCAAAATCCCCTGTCCCGAAGACATGTAAAAACAGATCTAACAAAACAAGTACCTCCTCAGTTTGGTCATTATTACGACCTTAGCATGCAAGACAGAGGGAATTAGAGTAAAGAAATATATTTGTCCAGACTGCATCCCACGTCTGTGAACTGAATTTACAAAGCATATGCTGAAATAAAAGTTCCTCTTTTATATGAACCTCTATTTATGAAATTAAAATATCCCAGACCCACCCACCTCCCTGCTCCCTAGTGGACAGTGGCTGGTATAGAACTGTAGGCATTTAGATATCTCAGGTTTTTGCATCATTATTTGTTTTGAGGCTCTACTTCCATGAACATCTGCTTAGCTTCACAAACAAAATGTGTAAGTTCTTATTGTTACATAAAAGAGCACTGGATTTTATTTGCCTTCATAATAACCTAATGGACTGCTAAATTTCAGTATAGTACTGTTAATCATAGACAGAAGTCATAACATAGTCTTATTCTTTTAATCACTGAAAAATATTTCATGGAAATGGAGTCAAGTGAATAAGGGACATTTTTATACTGCTTTTAATTTGAGGCATGCTTAGGGAGTAAGCTCACAAAGGAATTTTAAATACAACAGTTTGACAGTTGGGGTAAGAGTTTTGTTTTGTCTTGGGGTTGGGGTTTCTTGTTTCAGTATGTAGCATGCTTGGAGCTGATGGCCAGTCTGCTTGTGATAAAACATCCAGGTCAGTTTAAACAGAGGAGTTCACTGCTAAACAATGTCTCTAAGTGCCACATCCATGCAAGAGCCCTGAACCCCCTTGCCCAGATCATCAGTAAAGATAGGAAACAGATCTGGCCCCAATACTGAGCCCTGGGGAACACCACTCATGACTGACTCCCAGTTCCATTCACCACCATTCTCTGGGCCCAGCCATCCAGACAGTTTTTAACCCAGTGAAGAGTACAACTGTTCAAGCTGTGAGCAGACAGTTTCTACAGGAGAATGCTTTGGGAGACAGCATCAAAGGCTTTACTAAAGTCTAGGCAGACAACACCCACAGCCTCTCCCTTATTCATAAAGCAGGTCACCCTGTCATAGAAGGAGATCAGGCTGATGAAGCAGGACCTGCCTTTCCTAAACCCATGCTGGCTGGGCCTGACCACCTCGTTGACCTGCACGTACTGTGTGATGGCACTCAGTCTGTTGCATGACCTTCCCTGGCACTGAGGGCAGGCTGGCGGACTTGTAGTTCCCAAGACCCTCTTTCTGACCTTTCTTGTAGATGTGTGTCGCATTGGCCAACCTCCGGTCACCAGGGATCTCCCCAGTTAGCCAGGACTGATGATAAATGATGAAGAATGGCTTGACAAGCTCTTTGGCCAGCTCCCTCAGTATGCTTGGGTGGATCCCTTTGGGGTCTATAGACTTTCATGTCTAAGTGCCATAGCATGTCACTGACGATTTACTTCTGGATTATGGGGATTTCATTACACAAAAGAAACAATAGATGGGAGGAATATGACTTTTCATGTGTTGCTTTAACTTCATTTGAAACTAAATAATCCACTGAAATGAGAAAAATCAATACTTTCTTCACATTACAATATTGTTCAGTTCTCTGTAGAATACATAATGGAAGTTATTGTCATTTTAAAGACTTTGTAACATGTAATTTTAAACAGCATTTCCATTGCAGTTTTTTGTGAGGGAGAGCCAGGACACCTGAAGTTCAAAAAATTCCCCAACAGCCTAATCTCCTTCTAGATAAACCAATGAATTTTTAGAAGACCAGTAGAAGCAAAGTAGTAAAAAAAAAACATGGACAACAGTTTGTAGAACTGGGAGGAGTAGGTTGGGTTGAAAAGGCAAAGTACTGTCTTTAAGTTCATTTCAGAGGGTTTTGAGATATTTAATTAGTTCAGAGTTTTATTTTTAGGTGTTAACACCAAATTTTGTTAACACATACCTGACATCACTGAAGTAGCGCAATTATTTTGTTAGTAAACTTGTAGAAAAATATAATAACATTGTTGTCATAGGATGTTACTGGCTTCCAAATTGAGTATTTTATGAGCAGAAAAGGTTTTTTTCATCTTCCTTTCTCCTCTCCTTCTTAATTCTGGGCTATGAGGCAGGAAACAATAGGAAAAAGAGTATGCTGTAGCTTTGTGAAGGTCTTTAAAAAAGAAATGCAACAAGCAATATTTTTTCCTCCTTTCTGACACTACATGGTAGAGCTGTACTTTAGCTAACTAGATGTCAGTGACCTTCTCAAAGCAGGCTGCTGAATAAATACAGATGAATGTATTATCTACTGAATGTAATCTGAAGTTCATACTGGACCACAAAACAGTAACTTGCATATGTGTGATTCAAACTGTCATTGGCAAATAAAAATACAAAATACCTTCCTTTATATAACATATACTTGATGTTATAATTGTTAAATTATGTTAAAATATACATTTAATGTGATAGAATTATCAGTTATAATACATGTACTTATGAATTATCTGTGTTTCCTTTTTGCTAAACATTTAGGACCATTTTATATCATATTGAATAGAAATTGTTTCTTCTGGTATCTATATATATATGTGAATGGTCTTTTGCATGGATATATAGAAAACTTATTTAATAATGTCTTTTGGCAAATATTTATGGCAAATATTGTTTCCATTGTTTCCATAATGCTGAATTAAAGAGCATTAAAAGTTCCACCATAGCTTATACACTTTGAGGTTTTTTTTGGCAGGGTGCAAGAGCAGTCATACACACCATTTCTACTGTGGTTTCCAATAGTATAGCAGAATAATATATATTCTTTTAGTTTTTTAGTATTTGATAGCACTATTAATCAAAAGCCAATTTCCTCAAAAACCAAAATGCCAGTGTATCTGATCACACACTCAAAAAAAATTGGATTTAAGAATAGTAGGAATTAAAATTAATGGATACAACTTCTTTTGTGCAACAGGGAACAAGAGAGACACTTAGCCATCATTGCAGTACTCTTGGTGATGCTTTAAGGAAGGAGAATGATTTTGCTCTCATCATTGATGGTAAATCTCTGAAGTATGCTTTGACATTTGGAGTGAGACAGTATTTCCTGGATTTGGCTTTGTCATGTAAAGCTGTTATTTGTTGCAGGTAAGGTTTACATTATTCTCTCTTTACATTATTTTTATTGGCATACAAAAATTAAGAAACGGAAGTCATGAAATACAGCTATTCAAGCTAAATATCTCCGTAGAGCAATCTGCAATGAAGTCTACCTGTCAAAGTCATTCAGATTGCATATTTCCAGAAAAATAATTTTTAATCCATCAAGGGTAGTCTCAGCAAGATTGAGACATTAATCTTGACCTTGAATTGGTACTACAGTTAACTGCAGATTTAAAACATCTGGATTCTTTTGTAGATCTTTCTCCACAGCCTGCTTTTCCATAAATGGATTACACTGTGTAAGAAGTACACAGAAATGTTAAAGGTACTACTTTGGGTGCTTTTTATTGCCTGAAGCTGATGGAAGCACCTTTTTTTTAATCATTACTATGCCTGATTGTTATAGGTTTCCTTTTACAATGAAACCTTTTATCCTTTACTGTAGACATCAACTAATAAAGCTTCTGTTGTTCTATTCAAAATGAAGCTATTTTTCTGCCTTGCAAAAGGACAGGGAAAACAAAGTAAGGTTATAGTATCCAAATAATCACCTGGTTTATATTCTTTCCATCATTTCTGTCAAGCAACACATTATGCCAAGAGATTTTTTTAATTAAATTTTAGTAGTTAAGCTTTGTAGCTGTGCTTCAGCCTGAAACACTCAGAATTTCAAACCAAGTTCTTTCTGTCTTTTAAACTGAGATCTTATACTGATACACAGTTTATATTGTATATAAACATTTTCCTAATGGCAGTAGTCTTTCTGACAGGAAAATTAGAGCTTTGTGCTTGTTCTACCAGGTTGAGTATTGCTCAGCATAATAACAAGCAGGAGATGCATATATAACTGCTCTTTCAAAACCATATTTCTTTTTCTTCTCGTTCTTTGATTTCAAAATATATTTTATGCCATTTGAAGAGATAATACTGCTTTTTCTCTTGAACAGTGTAATCTCTGAAGGATATTCTGTAGGTAAAGCTGTCTTTTAGTGTTTGCATTTTTGTAATGAAACAACTAAGTGCAAAATGAAAGCTTCTGGTCTGGTAGCATTCTCTCTGCCATTTCTACACTTAACGCTTTTATAATATACTTTGGTCAGTTGGTTTCAATAAATATTTAAATATATGCTCTGACATATTTTGTGGTTGTTTAAAAATTGGCTACAGGTTTAAAATTAAAATACTTGCTTGTAACACTCACTGTTTTAATTTGTACTTTTTTAATATCACATCCTTCTCTGAAGTCAAAATTTTGTCAAAATATTTATTCTGTTAAATGCTTTATCTTTTCTGACAAAAACTTCATTTCCTTGGACCTTGAAAATAAAGAGCTAAAAACTGGCAATTTTTAAGTAAGGTAAATCCCTTAAAAAACTATATATATCATCCTGACTAAACAAAAATGTTGGCCTTTTCTTCCTCCATATAAAGGCAGTAAGTATCTTAACCTCTCCTTGGTTCTAGAATTACGTATTACATCACTTTCCTTTAAATTTTCAGACTGTATTCAGTTATTAAGAAGCATTTATTACTTATGGATCTTCCGTTGGTAAGATCCATTGGTAACACAGATGAGGCTGACAAATATTCAGTTGACATTTCTTTTCAAAAAAAGCTGTATGCAATTCCAAGCAGATGTTTGGCTTAAAGACTTTGACTAACTTAATTCCAAGTTAGTTTCAGAATAATATGTGTAAGAAGAACGTTAAACGGATTATTCTGCAGAAAAAAATGTACAACTAAGATTGAGCAAAATGAACGAAAAATATGTTTTACTGGTTTTACCATGAACTCAAGGCAATGAGAGTGCCATCTTCCAATTGCCCCTATAACATTGTCTGAAAGGGAAATAAGTCACTGTTCCTTTAAAGTTGAAAAGATGAAAAAGAAGTACTCAGGAATCTTCTGTAGAAATTGGCTGTAGCAATTCTTGATACAATTCTCAACAGCAGTGTTCAAGTAAAACATGTGGCAAAAGATCTTAGAAAATTTTTTTTCATGTACTCGAACCACAGAATTTTTCAGAAGGGCTCTTGACCAGAAGCTTTCATCCCAGATTCTCCGTGAGGCTGTAGTCATCCCAAGTAGCTTTTTCAGAAGTCTGATAGCTTGTGTTGTGCTGGCCACCGAGTATTGTAATCACACAGCTACCTTTAATTTGAAGGATGCTTTTTTTTTTTTTTTTTGCCTTTGGAAAGTCAGATAATTAAATTTTATGCAACATTTTTTTCTGATTCATTGCACTTAAAACCTAAGAATTTTAGTGAACTGGCACAGAGTAGGATTGCTGAGGGATCAACACCCAAGTGTGAACCATGAGAAGCTGTCCTCTGGCAAACGGAGAGGAAAATCAGAAGAGCTACAAGAATCTTCCTGGAAACCAGTACTAGTCAGAGTATCATATATGAGCAAAGACAAGCCTAGGTACCTAGGTACCAATTCAGTTTCTCTTTATAACACAGGCTCAGTGTTCAGCACAATGGTTTAAGAAAGAGAGGCAACCACTTACTGTACCCCTATACTGGAAACTCAGTTAATCTAATGTTGAGGTTTAATCTAGTTCTTGAAAGATAGTTTTTTTACTTCCTAGAACTTTATAGGGTATGTAAAATGAACAATACTGACATTTGCTGAGAAAAATGGAAAACAGATTCTTTTTTTTTTCTTTTCCAAGTGAGCTATGGACCTTATACTATTCCTTCATATTTCTTCTGTGACACTGAAACTGAATCAATTATCAGTCTGTTCCATAGTAAAAAGAATACCTTGATAAAGTGAACAGAAGTCATGAAATGGTACCATTGAAAGTATGATACATAGTGAAATTGTGTGATTATGATGCATACATAAGATCTCATTCTACAAAACAAAAAGGAATATTAATGAATTTACAGAAAAGATAATATGCTTTCATTTCAAAAGTTGCACATCTCTGAATGAAATATACACAGGAAGACAGATCATGGGCTTTCAATTTTTTTCTTTTTTTTTTTTTTTTTTTTACAATTTTTAACAATTTCTGTTTAAAATATGATGTTTTGAAACAGTTCTCTTTAATACTTTCCTCAACATGGAGTCCTCTTTCAGCTTCTTAGTCAGTGTTTCAGAAATGTTGTATCTTTTAATGAGTAAGAGTTGTGATTGTTACTATAATTTATTGATTTAGACCAAACTTAATTCCTCATAAATGTTACATGAATAAATATGTGTATCAGAACATAAAAAGCATGTCTAGAAAACCTTGGTTTTCTCCTACAGTTCTAAGCTATGTTTCAGAATAATCATGTTTAACCTTAGATGACTAACAAATAACCTTCATATTAGTGGGAAAGGGCATTCCTTTCGTTGGAAATTAATGTTGGTTTGGTGTAATTTGCATTTCTAAAGGACACATTCATCAAAATTTTTCAAATACTGTTCCTACTTTTACCCTTATTGCTTAGCTTTTCACAAATCTTTGTAGCTCTGGATCTATAGATAACAGCAGTGTGATGTCAAAGATTTGGGTTTTTTTTCTGAACTTTTTCTTGCTCTGCTGCATTTACTTTTTCAGTGAACACAGTGCAATTGGTCACAAGCTTCAGCTGTCAATTTTAGGAAAAAACTTTGTTTCCATTTTTAGTGTTTATAGCTTGCCTGTCATGATTTAGTTATCTCTGTTTCTTTAAATTGTTTTCTAATCATTTTCTAATTTCATTCATATTTATACTGAATGGAAGGTAGCTGGTATGGCCATTAGTTTCAGCAATCATATAATTGCTTGTTTGTGCTTTTGGTAGCTGTGATACAGTTTACTACAGATAGCTGGATAAAGTGATGGCCAAGCATTGTTTTTAGTATCTACGTGCTTAATGGAAAGAATGTAATTGGTGCTTCAGTGTTCTTTAACTGTAAAAACTTAGCATTGAATGTGGAGAATTGAATATCTCTTTCTTGTTTATTTGAAAAGAGATGACAGTTTTGTTCTGTTTCTGGGGATTTCTTAAAGGGGAAGAAGTGTGATGAGGAATTTTTTGCAACCAATGGAAAAAGAAACCATTTCCTCTTAAACTGAGTCAAGGATCAAAATTTTGGTCCAAATTCAGAGCAATGCATTGTAACCTGTAACGTCAGTCTGTCCAGTGTCAAGACAGGCAAATCATTCAGCCTTAGCTGTAATGCCAGACATCACTGGGTAGGCAGGAACATTTTATTATGCCATGTACTGAAAAGTAATCTGACTAATGTATATAGTCAAAGAAAAATTGCTTCCACAAGGTGGCCTGTTTTTATTATTGCCCTCATTAGCACTGGTTTTGTGATCTTAAAAATCAATCAATATAAATAGGGCAGTATTTTTTGCCACATACACTTACTGGATTTGATAGAATTCTTTGAACTATAGTTCCTTAAACTAGAAAACAACTTGCCCATCAGGAATCTCATTAATAATATAACAGTATAATTTTTCTCAAGTCCTTCCAGTATTTACGTGCTTACGTGAATGCAGCCTTTGGGACCCACAGCTTGCAGAAGCAACCTCAGCATTGCACAGATGCCACAATACAGCAGAATTTTTACTGTGTGGTGGTAGCATTTCTTTTTGTAACTGAGCTTGTGAGTGCCATACACCAGTCTTGGTTCAGGTGAGAACTGTACTCATGAACGCCATAGGCCCTGTTGCCTGGCAGTGTCTCAGTGAGCAGCAATTATTTAGAAGTAATTGCTGGTTTGTGATTTTTTTTCCTTTGCAAATTTGTTGCCCTAAACTTATATTCTTAATTTCTTTTATATTTCTGTGGGTTTATTTCATTTTTTGATCTGAAGAGTTAAGTCCAGGTTATGAGTATTCCTACCTATGAGCATTAACCCTGAAATTTTGTAAATGCTGGAGAAATCTTTCACAACCTGAACTGCCAAGTTCCAGAAGCTTATGGTCTCACGAGGCTTATTGCCTTAAGTGAGCATGTAGAAGACTTGTAGAAAATTACCTATAAATACATGATTTTACCCCAGTTTTCAGTATTAGTATATAATCCTCTCTACACAGGAGTCATGCTTTGGTACCCGAATTGCTCTCTTTGTAGGCAGCAATGAACAGTGGTTGTTTGGGAGACGGACTCATGGACCTTTTTGCATTTCATCTTGTTTCTGTTTGTACCATGAAACAAGAGGGGTAGGGTTTTATCCTTGACTCCGGTGCCAGGATGCATGATAGTGGATTGCCACACTGCTTAAGGTTTACTTGTTGCTTTCCCCATCCTGTGAAATACAGTAGAAATACTACCACATAACTTCTGTACATTATTTTCAGTTATGATGTCTCAAATACTGCAAGGACTGAATTCATACGAGAGTATGAACTTTAAAAGTCGAACTTTTACAATACAAAATGGAAGATACACATGGGACACATACAATGGTGGATGTGGGCAGAACTGATACAGTTTCATCAATGGAGCTGTCATCCTTGGAATAATTTCTCCCAACTGTGGACAGGCATTCTCACAATGACAGATAATTAGAACAGTCCTGAAAAGAACATGGGAGAAATTACCAGCAGATAAATTAAGTAGGGGATCAAGATTCAATGTTCAGTTACTCCCTCTAATGTATCAATGTAGGCCGTGTTAAGCTAGTGGCAGTCCACTCTGTGACTGTTTGCTTTGACATCTGCCTCTTAAATATCTTGTTGTTTGTGTATAAAATCTGTACTTAAACAGAGAGGAAAATAAAAAGTATATTAATAAAATGAGTTCAAAATCTGTAATTGTTGTAAGTTAATACTGGTAGTGGCAGCATCTGCAGTTCCTTCCATTACTGTGTTTTAGGGGCCCATTGCTGTTTGACTCTTGTATCTTCAGTGCTGTTAACATCTTGCTTCAACAAATCCAAGTTTTCTGTGAATTTTGCTGGGAATGTGCTTTTAGCATATAGCCTGAAGGGCAACAACAAGACCAGGTCTCTGACCAGGATGTTAATTGGCCTATTTTTATTACCTTTTCATAGAATATAAAGTATGTTGTGAAAGTGCATTCATTTGCAAATCCTTTATTAAACCTGTTTCTTTGCATTACCCCTTAGGGTATCACCACTTCAAAAATCTGAAGTTGTAGAAATGGTTAAAAAACAAGTTAAGGTAGTAACTCTAGCGATTGGTGATGGAGCAAATGATGTTAGTATGATACAAACAGCACATGTTGGTGTTGGTATTAGTGGGAATGAAGGTCTACAGGCTGCTAATTCTTCAGACTACTCAATTGCTCAGGTAAGTCATTACATTGCGAAGTACTACATGAAGTATTTTAATATCAGATTAATATTGGTGTATGCATGTTTTGATTGCATATTCATTTTTCTGTTTTTTTGCAGTTCAAGTATTTGAAGAACTTGCTGTTGGTTCATGGAGCCTGGAATTATAACAGAGTAGCTAAATGCATCTTGTATTGTTTCTACAAAAATATTGTCCTTTATATTATTGAGGTAATTTTACAGTACCTTAAGTGTTACTTTTTGAAAGTAAGAACTTTAATATTTTGAGGTTTTGATTATTATAAATGGTTTTGAGGAAGCATTTTAACTGTCAATAAACTACTAGTACTGAACATTTCTTTTTAATAAACTGATTAATATTAATGATTTATTTTACTTTGAAAACCCTGATTGTTTTTAAAATGCATAATAAATATTAGCACTGAATGTTTTTGTTACATAGTATTGCTAGTTTATTAAAATTCTGTACCTGTAACGTGATTACCATAATTAGGGAATACACTTACAAGTCATCTTAAATATATCAAGATATGTATGTGCTTAAGCTCCCTGAGCTGGTGTCAATAACTGTCCAGTTTACAATCAGAAGCCCTTGTTAAGGTCACTGTTAAAACTTAGGGCTGTTGCTGTTCAGAGCAGCATCCAGGGTTTGTACATAGATGTTTAGTTACGCTATTGCGAACCTTTCCCTTGCTGATGGGGTAACCGTGCCTCCTTAGGCCCTAGTTAGTGAACAGGAATGTTCTCCTGAAAGTAGCTGACCTATACTTTTTCACCTGAGATTTTAAGGAGGCTGGAATCTTGTGAATAAGAGGACTGTGTTGTATTTAAGTGTATGTTTACTAGTAGGTGTGGTTAAAACAGCATGTATAGCTATAGTTTTCATCATCTTCATGACCAAATGGCAACCTTAAAATTTTGAATGGATTTTTAAAGTTATTTTTAAATTTCTTCCTTCCTCTCCCTTAATTTTCTTTCAACAGCTGCTAGCTTTCCTACAACCAAATATGTATCGAGCAATTGTGTTTATAATTGATTCAAACTTTATATATCCAATGATACTTTGGGTTAAAAATGTGGGGGAAAAATTAATTTTTTGCAAAGCTTGATCACAAAATAAGTTTTGTAGGTTAGTCTTGTGTATTTTTATATTAACAGGGTTAACAGATATTTGTAAAACTTTGGTAGTTTTTTTCATGTATTTTCAAATTAGTATCCTAAACTTGCAGAGTAAGTGTTTGGTTTTACTGAAAGAAAATGCCTTATTTTTGTTAGATCTGATGCAAATGTTATATTAATATTTCCAATTTTGATACTTATGTATGTGACCTTACACTGTTGTAATACCTTTAAATACTTCAGTTGCCTTTTTATGTAGAAGTGTTGTAGCCAAAAGAGTGCATTTTTCTTACCATACTTTTACATTTTCTAAGTTTTTCTCTTTTTTGTCCTTATTGTGTTATCGATGCAAATAGATTTCAATCTAAGTGGCAGCAAGTTTGTAGCTGTTTAGAAGCTATAAAAAAGCAAATTCACTAAATATCCTTTTTTGCTTTAGAAGTGATGGCAGACTTTAGATCCTGTATTTCAAAAGATGAATATCTACTTACATGATCAGACTTCCAGAAGTACTGATTGCCAGTAATTCTAGAAATATTGGGAAAAAAAGTATTAATATATATTTTGTGCTTATAGAAAAATACAAAGCAGTCTTCAGAATGCACTAAGTTATTTTTCTTAGCTTTCTGCCGTTGTCACCTGCAAACACATTGTAAATTTATAACTTAAATCAGATATAAGTATCCCATTATTTGTATTCTTTGAGAAAGAAAGTTAAATGCAAGGTACAGAGATCACAGTCTAAAAATACAAAAGACTGGAACAGGTAGTCTCTGCCTCAGGAGAGGATGGAAGGGCAAAGCGATAATTTTGATATGGGTTATGACCCTTTTATATATAAAGCATGCAAGCATTTGCCATGTACACCTTCTCTGGAAGACAAGATGACTTCTACTTGAATTCCTGTATACCCAACGTTTGTGAGCTCAGAAAACTTTCAGAGATGTTAATAGCTCCTGTCAATACTGTGAGTGAATGGGCAGAAATTCATCATTGAATGTCTCCAGAAAGGACAACTGCCAGTCTTGAGGCGCTCTTTTCAGTTTTTTTGTACAGATCAGGCGTGGGAGCAGAAAGCTCAATGAGTATTTGTAAGCTGCTGCTTAATATGCAGAAATGCTACATCAGGAAAACGTCTGTGAGGCTTTTGTGGCCACGCCTCCTCTGTCTTGGAGTTTAGAAAATAGTACTGTGAAAGGCATGTCTGATAGTTGTTTTAAACAAGGTTCCTTCTATTAGCTGACAATAACTAAAAATACCTACCTTTATTTAATAGATGCATATTACATGTTTAAATGTTTTCTCAGTACTAATCAAGCTAGTAATGTAAAATATTCCATTTAATCTAAAATACAGCCTTTATTCTAGGCATTCATGAGCTGATATGAAATTAATGTCATTGGTTTCTTTGTTCAGAAAACAGTAAAGTTCTATAGTAATACCCAGAAACAGTGATTAGGGCGTATTGACATTTAAACTCCTCTACATAACAAACTAAAAGTGGGGTATAATTATTTTCTTTTACTCTGTGTCTTGATGCAATAGCCATTTAAATATGGGCCTCATCTTTTGTATGGACTAGTCCCAATGACTTTGGAGGCTATATTCTCAAGTATCAAGTATAAATTACAAGTGAAAACTCTGAATTTCTAAAAGGCCACTAATGGGCATTAATAAGCCTGTACAGAGCATCACACTCACCTAGGATAAGCCTATGCAGAGCCTCATACTTATTTTGAAGGGATTGTCATTATCTTATAGTGATAATTGGGTTAGAGATTGATGTAGTGATTAAAACCTTCTCTGTAGGTTGGTTTTGGTTTTATAATTACCATTACTGCATACCTCTTTTAAACTACTCATTTGAGAATTTATGCAAATCACCCTTCAACATCAGCAGGACGAAATTTTCCTATTCCTACTTTCCATTCTGCTAATTAGTAATGACTAGTAATAATACAAACTAACTGGTTCATATTAAATAAAAAAGGTTTACATTTTTAAAAATAATAATTTTGAAGATCTACATAAGTCATTCATGTTCCATGTAGGGGAAAATTCAAATAAAAGGTTAAAAGACCAAGACAAACAGAAGAAAGAGATGTGTGGAGTTCAGATTTAAAGTTCATTCACAGATCTCTAAAGTGGCTGCTAGTAGCAATTTAAGTCATACGATGTAAACAAATCAATATACTAACTAATTATATCTGTAATGGCTTTTTTTGTTCCACAAACTTTGGTTGATGGGAGGGGTTTATTTCTTTTCTCCCAAGCACTTTTAATCCCACTGCTGAGTTTACTCACTTTCTGCTGCTCATGTGCATAAATGGAATTTACCATTTGGTTCCTGATTTCCTTTGTCTGGCATATCAGATGAATGCCCATGATCATACTGAGACCCTTATCATGCATAACCCCAGATACAAGCAGGCTTTCTGAGTATACTCACAGTGCTCCTGAGCTGCAGAGTTCAGGTGCTGTTGTTCGATAGCCACTTCGTACTTAATGTATACAAACTGCACCAAGTTCAGTTTGAAACACAGAGAGCAGAAAGTGATTGTGCTCATGCCCACATTTTTGCATCGTATGCTTTGAAAACTTAGAAATACAAGGATTTACCTACTAGAGGGCACTAGTCTTAGCCACATTAAAAGATTTCTTCTTCACTGACTTATTTTGATAGAGGCAGTAACAGCTTGAGAACCTAGAGGTGCTACCAAATTTCATGTCTGCTTGGTTTGCATCTAGACCTCTGACCAAGATACATTCCAATCCCTTATTACTCTAAACTGAACTAAAATGTCTATAACTTACATGCTTTCCTTGGAAGAAAGTAAATGCTAAAATTTCAGAAAGCTAATATTATGCCTTTAAGGATTTCATAACTATTCTACAGTAAAACTATTTTCAGTTTAGATATCTTGAAAATTTTCACTTAAATTCTGTACAAAATAAGCTGAAAGCAACATGGTTTTTAAGGAATAAAATTATGCATAGCATTTCTGAAGAGGCTTGGTAGCGACTTCATATATGACATTTTATTGTAAATTAAAATTTTATCTTAAATACTTGCATTTCTTTAAAAAGTCACTTCAAAACATTTTCAGGTGTTGCTTAGCATCAGTTACCTGTGTAAGAACAGTCACCATGTGGAATAGATTCAGTTATATGTATTTAGGCCTTTAATTTAAAATTAGAGTTTTATAAAATTTGCCTACTAGTTAAATCACAATAGAAAGTTAATGTTCTTTCCATATACTCCTTGGTTATTAAGCATCAAGTATATGTCTACTTGTGATCTTTTATCTTCTTCCTAGAGAGTAATACTTTTGTTAAACTCTGTCTGAAATTACCAGCAATGAGATGTATGCAAATTTATGCCCAGCTACCAAGTCATATATTCTCTATTAAAATTGCCAGTTTCCACCACCCTAACCCTTTCAAATTAAGAATTCTAAAATTTACTCCAGTATTTCATACAAAAAAAGAGAAAAAAAGCATCTGAAAAATTGTGTTGATGAGTGTCCGTAATAAACAACTGATTATGCACTCGCCCTCTTACACTCAACTACTGAGAAACTGCTGCCACCAAATGTCTGCTAAATTCATCACAATTAAATCACAATTCCTGTTTTTCAGGTCAAAAATCAAAATACACAAGAGCTGATAAAAATCTGATTCAACTGAAATGAAGTAATTCCATTGTATTTTCAGTGTATAATCTGAAAGGCTAGAAAATAGTAATTGTTACTGTTAATCGACCAAAGTAAGCAAATATAGCCTTATAAGACTTAGAAAATTCAGGGTATTCTCTGCGTCAGTATTGCAGCCTCTAAAATTCATGACTTTGCATTCAATCGTGTTCCAATAACTGATCACAAAAAAAAAGAAATCTATTAATTTTTCACTTAGCAGTTGAACAAATAGCAATTTTGGCTGGATTTTACCTTCTATTTTTAGTGTTAATAGTTGTTGATTTTAGGGAGTTTTCCATCTCGAAGTAGTCACAAACATGTTCAGACACTCCACCATATGACTAAAAAAAAAAAAAAAATAATCTGAGTTTGGTCATAAAATCCATTCACCTGGAGCCAGCCTAGGTACATATTGATAAACATATGTATTGATTGTAGCAACTCATGGTTCCATAATGAAGTAAAATGAAATGTGAACTGTATGAAAGCAGCATCTAAAAATTCCCTTGAAAAATGTGAGTCTTAAATTGAGTAGAGTGCTGTTTAGATGATTTTAACTTTTGTCACCTGAGAACTTATGTTTTTCCTAGACAATAGTTTCAGTGTAACTTGTTAATAAAGGTTCATCAGGCATGCTGATGAATGTACTAGTTCATTGTCATTGAACTAGTACAAGCATGAAGAAGTAGGAGAAAGCAGATGTGCTGCGTGCTATGCTGAAAAGCATTAGAAAATATATTGTCATGCCTTTCAAATTAAATTTGATTACTTTCAACCTTTTAGCAAAAAGTGATAAAAATTATGCAATAAATGGATACCCAATTGCCTCTCGAAAGTACCCTGTAGTTGACTTAGTGCTTGTTAAACTAAATAATAGTGCTTGATTTAGTGCTCTGGTAAAGTCTCATCCTCTCGTGACTAAGGAATATTGGTACAGTTGTCAGTTCCAAACAGCAGCTTCTTGATCTATGACTTCTATTACTTAGGAATTTTAAGTTAAAAAAGAGAAGATGACCACTAATCTGTAGGCTCCCCCCTCCACAACCTCATATTTCTCAGAATTTTAATTTCATTAAGAGTTAAGTGAGCTTAAATCACTCAAATACTTAAAGAACCTGACATTTCTTCTGAATGTTCTGAATGAACCTCCTTTTTTTTCATATTTACATGGAATTAGTCACATATATGACTAGATTGCCTATTATCTGTTCTTGATTGCAAGTTAGTTTTATTACTGATTTTTTTTATATGGGTTTAAACCAAAACATTTTCAACTATATTTTAAATGTGTTCTAAAGGTACCCCATTTTTGCAAAACTGAGGACAAATCTATTTATCATACCTTGCAAGACATTTGAGTTAATACATGATTCTGATCTTTTTCAGATCTGGTTTGCATTTGTCAATGGCTTTTCTGGACAAATTCTTTTCGAAAGATGGTGTATAGGTCTTTACAATGTGGTAAGATGATATGCATGGCTTTTTGTTATTTTTAACCATGAAAGTTTCTTGACTAAGCAATCTTTAAGCAAACTCTTTGCCTCTAAAGTTTTCCCATTTTATTTTTTTTAATCCGTCTACTAGATGTTTACAGCAATGCCTCCACTAACTCTTGGAATATTTGAGAGATCCTGCCGAAAGGAGAATATGCTGAAATATCCAGAGTTATACAAGACTTCCCAAAATGCACTGGACTTTAATACTAAGGTAGATTTTTTAAAAAAATCAAATTATAATAAAGCAAAAAATCATAGGAATTAAATATATTTATCCTTTTTGTTCTATGCTGCTCATAATTAAAAATGATGGGGATTTTTAATACTACTATTTCCACATGTCCACTTGTCTGTGAATCATGCAAACCATTTTTAGCAAGTATGGAAATGGACAACAAGCTCTTTACTTTTTTCAGCCCTGATATGTTTTTCTCTGCTGGTAATAAAGCTGTCTTCTATAGGCAGAAGTGATTAGACCTCACTGTCGCTTGGCTGTATGTATTTGTACTGTTATATGGAAATGGATTACTGAAGCCTGTGGAGAAGTGTTGCTGAGGACAATAAGAACTGTCATTAGATTTGTAGAGGGAGGGACATGGTATTATTCTTTGTCAATTTGGAGTTGTGATTTTATGGTTTAATTTTGAGTTTTCGGAAAATAATACTTGGAGTCAAGAATGTGTCAGGGTGGATCAAAAGGAATCAGGCTATTTTTGGTGGGAAATGGGTGACATTCATCTTATAGAGACTAGCACAAGAAGCAGTAAAAGAATGTAGGACTCTTTAATGCATAAAATACACAAAATTTCTTCAACATTGTCCATAAATAATCTTTTATAAACTAAATTAAACTTGCTTCTGAATCTGTATTTTCACGAGTATTTGATGTTTGTAAGAGCTCCTTCTGATTTTATTTTTTGTAAATATAATTATGGCATTTCAAGTTAATGTCATTTTATGTTGAACTTAGGGACATTTTCAATATGTCATTGAATTAACAATGTCTAGATGTGCTGGTCTGTAGTAGCTGTGCAGAGCTGATACACCATCCTTAGCTTGCTTAGCTCTTACATCTATGCCACTTGTGCTGTATAACTGGAGTTATCCCAATATACATAGAATTATTTGTGTAAACTGCCTTTCTTCACTGAAGCAGATAAGATTCCTCTCCTTCTTCCTCACTTCATCCCTTCACCTACAAAAACAAACTTGAAAGCTGTAGGGAGACTAGGGAACATAGTCTCTTGTATCACTGTGAATGCTTTACAAATATGACACTTTTGTGGTCCCATTAATACAGACATTTTTGTGTTGTGATAGATTTAATAAATAGTGTTAGTCATGAGTTAGAACTGTTGGAGTTTTCTGTTTTAAAATAAGTCTTTAATATTTCTGTTATTACACAGATGTAGTGTTGACTTCATTGGAAATTCTGTGGCTGTTCCCATACAACACTTGCTTTGAGTAAACGTCTACAAACTTGCCGGCTACAAAATTCCCACCTATATAAGTTGAATAGTTGGTGTTAAAGATTTTACTGCCTTGAATGTTGATGCAGATATTTGTTATGGTAAAAGGGATCAAAGGTTATGAGGTCATGACAGAGGTTAAAGGATTAGCATGTGACAAAAAGAAGTGGTCAGGAAAATGGAAAAGTAGAACTAATTTTTCTTGCACCCACCTGTGCTTTCTGTCAAATAAAAACTTCTGGTAATGACATAGCAACGAGGAGAGACAAAGGTTAATGAGTAGCACAAGTTAAATTTGCAAAGTATTGCAGTGTCAATTGGATCATGCAACCTGGTGTAGTTGTATAATCTAACAAAAGACTTTGAGAGGTTGTGGAAAATGTGAGACAGGCAACTTAATTTCAGTAGTTTGAACACCTTAACACTCAAAATACACAACAGCTAGTTACAATAACAGCCATAGTAGTCAAAAGCCCTTATTAGTGGAAAAAAAAGGATTGCTATACTGAAGGAAATGAGTTATATATTTTTTATTAAGTCATTTTATGTCACTATATAATATATTATGGAAAGCATCAATAGACTGTTTATCCTTAACCTTAATACAGTTCTTTGCAGAAGAAATCTTTTACAAATGAAAATCAGTTTGAAAGTAAAATTTTGATTATTTAACAAGACATTAAAGGAATTTTAATAAGATCAAATTACAGTCTTCAAGAATGAAGCACGTAAGGAGATGTTTAAGGAAGATAGTTTTATTTGTCCTTTTTTAATTCTTTTGTGGGGATATATAGGTAGGCATATGTAGAAGAGGTTTTGATTTTTCTACCAACTAAATTTATTCTTACACAGACTGCAAATTATAAAAACTGTAGTCCTTTTTAATTCCCTACATAGAATGTAGCAATTGTTCCAGTTGTCTGGTTTCGTTTCATTTTTCTGATGATATTCCCATATGTTTATATTTTAATTTCCCTTCTGATTTGAAATTAAAAGGAGGAGATAATGCACACTTTTTTCAAAGCATAAAAATAAACAAATGACCCATGAAGAGCTAAGAGCCAGAAAGTGCCTGTCAGTTATATTACTTCACAGTGGTGGCCTGACAGAAACACATTTTGTGAATCTAACACACAGCTAAAAAGAAAGGTCAGGGTTCACAGAGCTAGTTTATTGCAAATGGTTCTCATGGATTTTCTGTTTTCTGTTTCTTAGGTTTTCTGGGTTCATTGTTTAAATGGCCTCTTCCACTCATTCATTCTGTTCTGGTTTCCACTAAAAGCCCTCCAGCATGGTAAGTATTATGAAAAATAAAAATATAAATATTGAAAAGTACAAAATTCTAAATATTATCTTTTTTCTAAGGGAAGCTTTATAAATACTAACAGTTCAGTGTGATTAAATTTCAAGATATCATTTCTAGAACTAGACCAGGTGTGTATTTTAAATGTTTTATTTAAAGTCTGTTTATAAGTAGGAGTAATATTATGTATATATACATTTAGCTATCTAAGTAGGATTAATGTGAACTGAAATAAGATTGAGAAAAAGAGATTGCTATTTAAGCAGGCTAATTTTTATATGGGCTACCCTGTTAAATACCTATGAGATCCTAACTCTCTACAATCCCTTGTATTGCCTCTTACATTTTGTCAGCTTTTAGTGGTGTTTTGTATAGTTTCTCTCCTGTTACTTCCAGGGCATATTAATCTGCTAGTGTGCACCTTGCAGCTTTTCTGAAGTTAGACTGCTTGGTTTCAGTGATACAGCCATGCAGTCTGCCATGGCATAGGGGGCAGAAATGTTCTCATGGACATTTTGGAACTGTTGAGATTAGATAGTGAGACCATCACAGCTTTTTGTGGCCTGAAAAGGCTAAGGGAAAAACTTCTTGCAGAGTATTTTACACTCAGAAGACTCCTACTGGTAAATTGAGGTATATGGCGGTCTGTTTTGTCTGAAAGGCTACTCATATCACAGTGAGGTTTAGACAGCCCAGAAGGAATGAGGTCCCAAAATGTCAGTGCATATTCTAAAACTATAATCTCAAATCCAAACCAAAATCCCTGTTTAAAGCTGTAGCCAATCCATGAAAGAGATTTGTGCATTACAGGATGGAGAAGTTTTTAGTGAGATATATATATATATATATATAGTGATGCAGAATAGAGTTCATGTGTGATTGTCAAAGCTGAGATTCTTGCAGAAGCACTTGGGAGAGCCGTGTAGCACAGACCTTCTCAGCCCACAAACCCTGGGCAAGAACCTACCTGCTGGCAAGGGGCCTCTTCAAGTCTGAACAAATTGCCATCTGCCTTCCTTCCCCTTTCATTCCTAGAGAAAGGAAAGGTGAATAAGGGAGCAGAATTGAGACTTGGGGAGTTGAGTATGTGGCGAGGTGGTATAATCAGTACCTGGCATGGGTCCAGCTGGTGCACAGAGTTTTATATGAAAGGGATACGAGTGCAGAGTGAAAGCTACTGTTAATTAAATCTGATGTCTGTGTGTGTAAAGAGAAAAATGAAATAGTGCTATTAGTTTCATAGGGAGGAGCTGATGAGTACCAGAGACAGGAACTTCTGAGAACAGGTATCGGTCTCCACCTTCTCTTAGCAAAGAAGAGGTGCAGGAGGATCCTGAAACGTGAAAGGAGGAATGGGAAGAATGAGGGATAGCTCAGCTTTCTGCATAGAAGTGCTGAGTCCCAGCACTCTGGCAAATGGGCATAGAGTTAGCTGCCTGCCTGTTCTTGCATCTTATTCTCATTATGCTCTTTACTGCTAGGTATATATTGTAAAGCAGTGGAGTGCATGTTTGAGCAGGTATTTATTAGAATGCTGAAAATCAAATCTTGAAGATGATTAAAATCTCCTGGAGCCATTCTCTTGATCAAATGTTCCAGTTTAGTCTTTAGTCTTGCTTGTCCACCTGTTTCTTATCCGTAAGATGAAAATTTCAAACTGCATGTGTCATAATGGAGTCTATCAAGAAATGCGTTCTCAGAGAATAAGTATGGATTTATAAGAATTGTTTGTCAGAATTTGCTTCATGGTACCTAATCACTGTACTGTACATAAAACTTACACCCCATGTATTGTCATGTGAATATGAAAAGCACTGCAAGATATACAAGTCATAGATTACTAGCGTTCAGCACAATTTAAGGTAAAATATGCTGTTAGTACAGCTATAGAAAGTGGTACCATCTCTTTAGTACCAAAAATAATATATGTAGTGCTATTGTGGATGTTTCAGTGTTTTCATTTTTATCGCTTTCCTTCTCCAGGTACCGTATTCGGCAATGGTAAGACTTCAGATTACCTGCTCCTGGGGAACACTGTGTACACGGTAAGTCTATATTGGTGCTGGTTTTAACTCTTTAAGAGATGTGGATTTATCATTATTATAATTATCTTCACAGAAGACTTGATTCAGTGTAGTGCCTTAAGAAGTCCCTTAAGAATAAGAAATGGCTCTTGAATGACACTTTGAGTAGCTTTGAAATGCATTTTGCACTCTAATACCAGTATAAAAACAAAGGGGTTTAATAAAGATGCAGAAGATACATCTGTCCTTTACTGGAAACTGTCTATTTTTTTAAATAATGAGAATTATAATTCCCTAATTAGCATGCTTACTAATTTAAGGTAAGTTTCTATGTTGAAGAAATCTCAAGTTATTGGTTATCAAACTGATTTGTGGACTTGTGAAGATGCAATTCTGTTCTGTCTCTCTTAATTTATGATGGGACCTTGAAAAAAGCATAGAGCCACAGGCTTGTGGGATGCTTTTCAGAGGCAGTCAAACTGCCAGAATTACACCTGGCCATACCTGACAGTCATCTTCTGCTTCTCTCTTAGATACTAGTCATTATTGTTGGCGGTTTTTTTCTCTTAATCTTTTATCTCCTAGGATAAATTAATAAAGTTAAATATCTGTTTTTTACTTACTAGATACAAGTGTTACCCAAGAGATGAGGGTTTTCCAAGATCCCTCTTAGGAGCAAAGTTAGACTTAGGCTTACTCTCTGTTCTTCAATGTTAAGGGTTTAATTAATTTTTCAAGTTCCTGCTGTTGGCAGTTACAAAAAACAAATTAATTCTTCCATCAAAATAAGTGGGCTGTAATATAAATTCACATCAAAATCAATTTCCTTAGGGAATAGGGAAGCATCATACCTGAAATAAAAGCATTCTAGATACATTGTAGTTCTTTGAGAATGTTGCCATTGTTGACATCTCCTATGTTTCTTTTGCCAGTCAGTACATGACCTTTAAACTGGTTCTTTCAGGCACAGAGAAAAATTTTTCACACATTCTCTTAAAAGTTTATTTGCTCTGCAATTCCCTTTCCCTGTTTCAAAAGGCAAGCACAGCTTGTTTGGTCAGCAATAGTCGCATATGATCATGCTATTTGTCATATGATGAACTGGTTTCCATTAGGGATAGGTGGAATATCCTGGGTATTTCCTGTGCAAGTCTTAATAAAATTAAGATGTAAGGTCACAGTCATTGTCATAGCTCAGTCCTGACAGGAGTAGTTCAACTGGCACAGGTCTATTTGTATTATGATCTCGTAACCCCAGGCAGTGTTTATGACACATTTATCTGAATGTCACTGCTTTTCCTGACATTGATAAATACTTGATAAAACAACCACTTGTTGTTTTAAGTGAAACAAGTTCTTTTTGGGGAGAGTTCACTGCTCCAGGTTCTTTCCCTATTTACAAATGTCTCATTGTTTACTGTTCTTAGAAGTTGCAACTTTGCTCAGTTCATTAGAAGTTTAGTTTGTGAATTGTATGTATGTATACATAAGTAACATAGCTTCACTTGTCCTATCATCTAAACTAAGTTTCTGTGAGCATGTCCTTTTATCGCTTTGCTTTACAAGTATCCCTTGTATTAGCCATCATTTTGTAGAGTTATCCCTGTACTCTTGTTAAACCCAGTTAGTCAACATATGGCTGCAGTCACAGCTGTAGTTCATTCCTGAAGCCATCTCAGAACTACATCTTCCTCAGGCACTCTGCTTTGGGCTTTTTTCCAAAACTAAGTTTGGCTCCAGGATAAATACAAGTTGTGTTTGCTGTCCTAAGAGTTAACTGAGGTCCTATGGAACTGAGTGTTCAAAAACTATTGCTACGAAGGTTGTCACCCATCAGTTAATGGATAAGTCTTGAAATCCTAAAGTACTGCAGCACATGTGAGTATCATCTGTGACATCAGCTGATTCACAAACACCTAAGACTGCCATTTCAGATTTGGAGCAGCATTTTTCAATGCCTCCAGAAATTACTTAATTTCTGATATTTTCAATATGGCTTTCTGTTTGTCAAGCTGAATCCATAATCACTAAAACAGAGGTCACAATGCAGTTAATCTGTCACGTTCTGCAACTGTTTGTCAACTAGGAGAGCTGAAACTTCACCTTCTTGAGAGGTTAACTTCTTGCTACTAACCTGAAGAGCGGCCAAGAATTTCCCAAGGAAACTACTTTTTTTCACTTCATATTAAAAATCTGGGGATAGATGGAAGATGTAATTGATGTATTCCTGCTCTTGCAAAAAATCAGGAAGAAAGGGATTCAGAAATTAATACAGTTTAGTTTCTTTTGATCCAGAAAGAAAGTCAGGAATATGCACTGATTCATATCATGTCCTGGAATTATTTCATCAAACATCAATTTCAAGTAAGAGTAGAATGCTGTGAAAATATTTGTACCACCTTTTTTGAAAGGTCTTCTTTTAAAAACCTCAGTCTTTATACAGAATACCAGTTTGATTTCTTATTTCCTGGGTAGGATTCAGTGAACTATTGTTAGTTTGGATCAAGGGAAGAGGAAGCAATAAAACCCATGTTCTTGAGGGAGTTGCTGTGCATAGTTAGTGATTTTCTTAGGAGTATCAGTTAAGATCCCTTCGGAGATCAGTCAAATGTATATATTTACACAGTGTGTATTTCTTTTTATAGAAACCTGCATTGTTTGTTTTGTGTATGCGTTTTGTCTATGCAATGGGAATTCTTGATCTCATCCTAAAAAAGTAGGCTTTCTTTTCTTACAGCTAACTCAAGTAGCAAGCAAGTGTACCAGATGAGTTTGTTTGGGTTTTTTTTTCTATAATTCTTTTTTTTTCCACTCATCCACATATAGCACCAGAACTGGATAGACTAAGCCAATTATAACACTTGTCCTTAATATTCTTCTAATTAGATTTCACACATGTTTTAGATAATGGAATTGTGGTGTTATGATTTTTTTTTTGTCCTTAATAACACAGCAGTAGTTGAAATATTTTCAGAAATAAAAGTATAAACTTATAGGGCAGAGTATTCTGGCAGAATTTGTGTCCTTTTGTGCATGAGACATAGTGAAAGGTTTGTCATACATATTTAACTAGTTATTTTTATCTTCTTATTGAAGTTCATTTCTTCCAAGTTTCGGAGGCTGTTTGAAATTCAACCACAAACAAACCCGCTGACATCAGTGCTGCCAACCCAGCCAACAAACTCAAATTTAAACTATAAGATGTTATGTTTGAAGATCAGTCTTTGTGACTTGGTTTTTCAGCCACATCTTCTTCAGACTGCACATGAAGCCAAACTTGTGATACACATTCACAAGTGAATTACAGAATGTAGTAACTTTCTTGGCTAAACAGAAAACCTGTTGGAGTGAATTTCAAAAAAAGTAGATAAACAATTTTCCTGGATCAGCTAGTCCTTGCTATGGGATTATAAACTGTTTACTACTGCTCATCTGTAAACTAAAGTGGAGCTTGTCCTACAGGACAATAATGTGATGTTTTCAGAGACTGTTTCATAAAAAGAGTAAAGAAAAGAGTAAAGATGGGAGGGAATAATTAAAATTACATAACAGACTTGTTCAACATGTTATTTGTATGCAGAACATAGATACTAGGGTGTATCTTTAAATCTTCTAGTCGTAATTTACTTTGTCTTCTGTTCTCCTGGAAGTTTAACCAAACTAACAAATTCTGTATGTTAAGATTCTCATGTTAATTAAGAATATTCTCTCTGTCCTTCTCTCTTTAAGTTTGTGGTTCTGACTGTGTGTTTGAAAGCTGGATTAGAGACTTCATATTGGACTTTGGTAAGCAAATGTCTTTACCATGTTCTCAAATATTTTGTAAAATATGATGGATGAATAGTTGTATTGTTTTCTTTGTATTTATTACCTTATGCCCTTTAGCAGTTTGTCAGCCCTTCCCAAAGTAGCAAACTAAACTGTGGTTCCCGTATGGAAGGACAGAATATCCACATACAAAAAATAATGCATCATATTGAAAATGAGGACATTGGGATAAGGCTTAATGTAATTCTTAAACTAGAAAAATCAAAATACTCTGAACTTATTGTAACTGAATTAAAATTGGCTTAAAATACAGTAATGTTGCTGCTGATAGTATCATTTTCCTTTAAGAAATAGCTAACTGAAGTAGTAGAGTTAAATTAATAAAAGGCATGGAAATTTCATCCAATATATCAAAATCATATTGCAAATACTAAGTAGCAAAGATGGTATTTTATGTTACAATGTATCTGTGATAATTGTTCTTTGTTGGTTGGTTGTTTTTTTCTTTGTTTGTTTTAACAGTTCAGCCATATAGCTATCTGGGGAAGCATAGCACTGTGGGTGGTGTTTTTTGGAATCTACTCTTCTTTGTGGCCAGTCATTCCTATGGCACCTGATATGTCAGGAGAGGTAAAAGTATATTTTATCTAAATGTGTGAAAAAAATATTGTTTCAGTCTTTAGTACTGGGCTAATCTTTACTGGATCCTTCTTTTAACTAGAGATGCATATGTCATTCTGTCTTTTATACCTTCAATGTTGTAGCCATGTTTATTTAAAATATAATGGAGTTTTACTCTTCTGAAGATGGAGGTCAGCTAACAAGCTGTGAGTATGTGGTTTAAAGAGATAAAAATAGACAGGTAAGCTGCTTTGCAGTTCTTGGGTAAACTTTAATTTTCTAAAGAAAAGTCTTACCAAATCCAGAACACAGAATTACAGTGCTTATTTGTCTGAAGCACTTTTTAATAATGAGGTGGCACAAGAAGTTCCCTGGTTAAGGCTGTTTTTTCATCTTCAATTTCACAAATTTGCCAAGTATTTGAAACTGTAAAATGACTCAAAAAATTTGAGGTGCCATAACATTTCCTGAGCTGCTTGTCATGCATGCATTTCCTCTTCTGTTAATGAGCTGCTTGGAATGCATTATTGTACGTATCTTTAACCTTTTGACAGTAATTACTGGTTTCTCTTTCATTTATTATCCCATTTGTTTAAACCTGCTCTGAATACTGCAAATTGGACTGAATCCGTAGAAGGTGCTTATTTGCTGCCTGTACTGATCTAATTGGAATTGCAGTCACAAATTCTTAATACTATTCAGTTCCAGAAACATCTTAAGTTTAGTATTAATTTCCTAGACACTAATGTCTGCTTCTGGGCATGACCAGTACCTCCTGAGCTGAGAAGTTCAGTGTGCATTCTCAGAAACTGAGAATAACTGCTTGTTTCAGAAACATATTATTTTAATTTTTCTCCAAGTATATCAACTAAATCAAGCCTTATACCAGTAAAAGAGTGAGTGCCTTTAACTCCACCACCACTGTGATATAATTCAGCAATTTAAAAATTCATGCAGGATGTGGGAAATGTAGGTGTATTTCTCCCTTACTTGAAGGTAATTAAGACCCACAAATTCAACCTCCTATATAAGCAATTATGGGAAAAAATAGTATATAGGCATTTCTACAACTACTTCATTTTAATGGAAAACACTTAAGTACTTGGATACCTAAGAAAAATAATTTGAAATTATACAATTTCTTGTTGTTTTTCCTGATCTATTATAATTTCTTACCTATTTATATATGTAGATTTTGTACATTACCGTGTCACCTCCGTGTCATGGTTTGTGGGGTCAGGGTAGTTCCAGACCAGCGGGTCCTTGCAAATGAGTTGTAGTTTTCCCCTACCAAGCTTGGCAGGGGGGGCTACCTGCCTTGCCCTGGGGGCTAACCCCAGCCACACCCAAGCACCAGACAAGAGACAAGCAGCTGAAGCTGATCTCAGCTGGAGCTGATCTGCTTTATTTTACAAAATGGAAGGTTTTTATAGGGCAGATAAGGAAGGTTTGAGAATGAGGGAAAGGTATGCAAAACTTGGATAAGGTATTGGACAATTAGCAGGGAGTGACAGAGAAAAAGAGGGGATACATAGCTTTTCAGATAACTTTTAAGTACATAATTGGAATGGCCAGATGCCCTCCTGGGACACTGTCCAATCAGGAACTGTCTGCTTTCTCCTGTGGGAGAAAACTTACAACCTAACAGAATAAGAACATGAACATAAAATGGAGGTCTCAGTCTATCTGTCTGATGCAGGGACATTCATGGTGTCAGACGCTGATTCCTTCCACTGGTTAAACTCCTCTTCCTCCTCCAGCCCATCTCCAACACCTCCCCTACTCAAAATTGATTCTGTACATTATTCTAAATTAAAGTAATTGAAGCTATAAAACCTCAGCATTTTTATTCATATACACTGTATTTTGTAGAAGAAACAGAATGGGTTTGGAATTTGGTGGTTTTAGAGATTTTGTAAAAACTTTATGGTGTTTTTAGACAGCAGAACTTTCATGGTGATAAGCACCCCATGCTTATTCTGTTTTACAGCAGGGCAGAACGGCATGTTGTACTTGGCATGACATAAGCATGGCTACTTCACTGTTGAAATAATGCTTTACTAACAACATGTTCAAACTCCAGTGTTATTGTGAGAAAAACATGTTTTTGAGGGGACTGTAATTTGTATGCACTTGGGAGAAAAGTTCTTCATAAAGAGATGTAGCTGTCAACAAAAATAATGCTCTTGTGGGGTTTGAATTCAGCTTTGTGCGAAAGTAGTCTGACTTATGAATTATAAAATCATTTTTTTGTTATGATAAAATTTATCTGTACTTGAAATGGGTAGTATTATTTTTAGTGTGTTTGCTTATGCATGTATGTGTATATAGTAGCTTTCAATGTGTGTACGTGCAAACAGTTGTTTAAAGGGGAGTGTTGTTGGCTGAGGTCGGCTTTGTTTTCTTTCTAAGAATACAGTTAGACGTCTGTAACATCAGAATAAGATCTCCTAAATGTATCATAGAGCATAAAAGGTATTGTTAAAAGCTCTGGTCTAGCTTTTTTTGCTGCACTTTGTGTGGCTTAAAGTCCTGTTGATGCATACTGCAGTGCAGATTGGAAGCAGGATTTTTGTATGCTCTCCTGGAACCCCCCTTACTGACTGGGTGGCCTCTGACAGGGCAGAATTTATTGAGTTTCTCTGAAGCAAGTCCAGGCCTTCTGTAAATATTCAAACTAAAAGATTCACAAATTTAACTGTGGAAAAGTTTGTGGTGTGATAGAAAGAAATCCATATAGGCAAGTGTGCATATACTGCTTGTCTAATTTCTTCAAATAGGTGAGTCAGACTTGAAAAATTCATGCAACTACATTTGGCGAAATTTAAATGAATGTGTCAAAAGTTGACCTCTGCTTCTTAGCTTTTAGTCCATTTTGTCTTGGTCTGATCTGATAAATTATGCTGGAGGGGATTTTCGTGGGGTTTTTCTTCCCCAGATGTGTTCATTAAAAATGCCCTCTTTTAATAAACCTTAGATTTATAAGAAGATAGATAGATAGATAGATAGATAGATAGATAGATAGATAGATAGATAGATAGATAGATAGGCATATAGTTATATAACTGTAGAAAGTCCTTAGAAAGTTTAAGTGTATTCCTTTTCAGTTCCTTTGAGCTGGTAACAACAATTCCATCTTAGTAGTTTTATAGTCTTTCCAGTCTGTATTCTTGGCACAATACTCATCCAACCATTCGGTCCCAGTTAGATGATATGTCTTCTAGAAACATCTTTTTCATGGCTTCTTTGAGATAGAAAAAAACTAATGAAACACTCTTATAAGGATTCAGTCTAAATTCTTCATATTAATGTCATGAAAATAATAAGATTCTTGCTGCTTATTCCTGGTTCAGTTCCAAGAAAATAAAATTCTAATGCTATTGAAGGGGAGAGATTGTCTAGGCCACTACCCCCCTTTCCCTGGCATGTTCCTAATAGTATAAGTGTATTTTTCTTTTTCTCTCTTTTGCTCTGAATTTTCCCAAAACAAAAACAAACAAGGATCCTCTTGATCCAAAATGCCCTGTTGATCTGGACTGCTGAGGCAGTTTTGGCTTCAAGACCTTTGTCTTCTTGTTGTTCAAGGTTGCTAGTTACACACTGGACCAAGTCTTCCAGCTGTACAGTACTATTTCTCACAGTGTGGGAACTAGATGATTCTCCATGGTACAGTAATCCTAAATCCTATAAAAAGTGGTAACCAGGTTGCCAAATAGATAGCGCATCAGAAGAGTTGAAGGTTGGCTTCTGACTCATGTAAGTGAGGTGTCCTGGCACAAGTGTTCTCCTGATTCAAATAACTGGTAGTTCTATAGCTGATTATCTGTTAGAGATTGATAATCTGGTTTCAGTTGTGGGGGTTTTGTGTAAAAAAAAAAAAAAAAAAGTTGTCCCAGGTGAAGAAAACTTCATTCATTTTCCCTGATTGATGATGTTCAGATGAAAACTGTCAGTTCACCATTGTCTTTCAGCAGACACAGTTTAGAAGGAAGAGTGGATGAAAACTATGAGAGAAGCAACTGCTTTACAAAGCAGAAGAAAATGGAAAAATAGGCTGTAAAATTGAAGGTTATGTGATAAAAAGGGGGGATAACCTAAGAAATTATGTAGTATCGGTGGCTAGATCAAGTGCTGTAGCAGATCAACTTTGAGTCTGAAATGAGACCTAAATATTTTATCATTAATTAGGCTGAACTGATTATTTGCTTTCATATTTTGTTTGAACTTTAGACTCATGCATTTAAAAATTACTCTTCTAGAGTTTATTTGAAGAATTAGGAACTATCTTCTAGTTCATATCCTGAAAGACCTAGGAATTCAAGATTGATCCTAAAAGACTAGGAATTCAAGATTGATCCTAAAAGACTAGGAATTCAAGTTTTACCTACTTATAGTAAAGTGTTAAAATACCTTTTCTACAAGGAGGATTTTGGTAGCAGTAGCAAAATGTTATGTCTGTTGGGGGGAACAGGGAGGCATAGTGTATGAGAAAGAAATACAGGAAATGTTTTAAAAGTTTTCATTGATTTTACAATAACTTTTCAGCCTCTATAACACAGTCTTTATTACATTACAATCTGCATTAAATCTGCAGTAATGTTTATTCACTCATTTGTTGTCCTTCTAGTGTGCTTGTACTGTGTAGTATGGAAGGATGTGAACAACCATCTTTACAGCTTATTTTTTTAATATTTTATCTCTAAAGATTTTGTTTTTAAATATAGATGCTAAAGAAAGAAAGGGGGAAAAAAACAATATTCTTTGCAGGTGTTTTGTGGTTAGATTTAACATCATATGTTTTGACTCATTAAATTAAAAAGGTGCATTTAAATTCAAAAAATGAGTCACTACAGACTAAAAGAACATTTTCATTGCAGAGTTGAATAAATCAACTGCATGGATCTTTATCTCTACTACACTGATAAGTTGATACTTTTATGTATAACATTAACAAATAGATAACTGAAATATACTTTCAGTATTTTTAAACAATTTATAGTATTTTCTCA